TTTGTCATTTGGGTGATTCATCTCAGTCTCTGTCAAGCTACTGGGGAGACCCTTCATTGTGCTTTTGTCAGGCTCAACCAGAATGTCCCTGCCCCTTCCCTAGGCCTTGGCCTCCTGAGCGCCAGGGCAGGGGTCATCCTGTCTCTTACTTGGGTTGGAATTGAGCCTCAACATCTGGGACTGGGGGTCTGGCTGTGTCCCCGTAGAGCCCCCACGTCTCTCCCCACTCCCTCCCGCTTGCATCACCACACACATTGGCCATCTCCACCTTTGTGAGGCTGACATAAGCATCTACTTGAGGTTGGCTGAATTCCCTGAATCAGGAGGGAGGGAGCCTTCGAGCCTGTGGCCCTGGCTGAGAGGGCTACCCTTCCTGCTTGCTGCAGAGGAGGGTTAGGGAGTGAGGCCTGTGGCAAGTTAGGGGGGCAACAGACTGCCCAGGGATGGCCTGAGGGGGCAGGGCCAGGGCCTCACTGTGCCCGGTACTGTTGACCGTTTCTGCCACAAGGGCCCTTTGTCCCTGCCACAGGACACTCTGAATAATAACTCTCTGGGCAAGAAGCACAGTTGGCAGGATCGAGTGTCTCGGTCATCTTCACCCTTGAAGACAGGTGAGTCAGGCCCCTTTTCCTTACCTGTACCTCAGCCTGCCCTGACTCAGTCCCCACCTCAGAGTTCAAACCCAACAGTCTCCAACCTACTGAGTAGAGATCAACCACCTACCCCACAGCCCTGAGCAAGCCCATTTAGGGGCTGAGGTCATCTGTGGCATGACATGTGGCATGAGTGAGTTGACTGGCCCCAGAGCCCCAGGAGCCTATTGCCAGGGGCGTCTTTGTCTCGGTTTCTGGTGTTGAGATGCTGAGTGGAGGGAGCAGGAAGCCTGGGAGTCAAGGGTGCGGGCACCTGTCTCCAGCCCTGACCTGCCCATCTCCAGGGGAGCAGACGCCTCCACATGAACACATCTGCCTGAGCGATGAGCTGCCCCCCCATAGCAGCCCTGCCCCCACCAAGGATCGAGGCACCTCCACCGACAGTCCTTGCCGCCGCAGTGCTGCCACCCAGATGGCACCTCCAGGTGGCCCCCCTGCTGCCCCACCTGGTGGCCGGGGCCACTCACATCGAGACCGCATCCACTACCAAGCAGATGTGCGGCTAGAGGCCACCGAGGAGATCTACCTGACGCCAGTGCAGAGGCCCCCAGACCCTGTGGAGCCCACCTCCACCTTCCTGCCGCCAGCTGAGAGCCGCATGTCGGTCAGCTCCGACCCAGACCCTGCTGCCTACTCCTCAGGTGCTGGGCGGCCGCACCCCTCCATCAGCGAAGAGGATGTGGGTTTTGACTGCCTGTCACCCCCAGAGCGGGCTGAGCCGCCAGGCGGAGGATGGCGGGGGAGCCTTGGGGAGCCGCCACCGCCTCCACGGGCCTCGCTGAGCTCGGACACCAGCGCCCTGTCCTACGACTCAGTCAAATACACGCTGGTGGTGGATGAGCACGCCCAGCTGGAGCTGGTGAGCCTGCGGCCGTGCTTTGGAGACTACAGCGACGAGAGTGACTCAGCCACCGTCTACGACAACTGTGCCTCCGCCTCCTCGCCCTATGAGTCGGCCATTGGGGAGGAATACGAGGAGGCCCCCCAGCCCCGGCCCCCCGCCTGCCTCTCTGAGGACTCCACGCCTGATGAACCCGACGTCCACTTTTCCAAGAAGTTCCTGAACGTCTTCATGAGTGGCCGCTCTCGCTCCTCCAGTGAGTGGGCAGGGGGGAAGCAGCTGGGGGCACAGGGTAGGGAGAGCTAGAGTGAGGGGTGTTCCTGAAAGGTGGCCTCAGGCCCCATCTATTCAGGTAATAGGACTGAGGGCTCTCTACCTGCCCCCCAAACTCGGCCAGAACTGGGACCACCCCTTCCAGCACCCTCCCCTCACCTACAGGCGCAGAGTCCTTCGGGCTGTTCTCCTGCGTCATCAACGGGGAGGAGCAGGAGCAGACCCATCGGGCCATATTCAGGTAGGAGCACGCAGGGCCACTGCCCTCATGACCTCTGCCATCACCAGGGCCAGAGCCTGACTCCCTCCCAACCATCCATCACCACGTGGCCCTGGGTACGCAGTGTCCACTCTCCAGGAACTGAGTCAGGCTGGTGACAGTGCACTGTTGTCTGTGCTGTGGTCATTGTGGGAGCCCAGGACTGGCCAGGGGCAGCGTGCCCGGGGTGACCAGAAGAGATGGTACCTGACCACACACAAGCCCCCACCCCCACTGGACCCTCAGGCCCCTATACGGAGTGCTTGCTTCTCTGTGAGCCCCCACAGCTCTGTCGGTGGCTCTGCTCACTTCCTCCCTTGGCCCCGAGCTCCTCGATGGCAGGCTGTGGGTCTGAAGGGCTGTGGTTCCCCCAGGAGCTAGCACTGCGACAGGCATACGGTGGAAGCTTTGGCAGTGTTTACTGAACTGACAATGCCACTGCAGCTCCCTGCCTCCAGAGTAGGTGGAGGTTGGAGGGTCTGGCTGGAGAGGCCCTGCTGAGGGGATTCCTCACGTGTCTGGGGACAGGTTTGTGCCTCGACACGAAGATGAACTCGAGCTGGAAGTGGATGACCCGCTGCTGGTGGAGCTGCAGGCCGAGGACTACTGGTACGAGGCCTACAACATGCGCACAGGGGCCCGGGGCGTCTTTCCTGCCTACTACGCCATTGAGGTCACCAAGGAGCCTGAACATATGGCAGGTAGCGCCTCTTTCCCCTGCCGCTGCCTCCAGCCCCCGCGTCGGCCCTGCCCCTGCTTCCTGCCAGGTGAACGCCTGCTCTGGATCTCAGTTGCTTTCTCAGCTCGCCAGGGAGGGGGCCAAGCAGAGGAGATTCCGTCCATTTCACGGTTGAAGAAAGTGAGGCCCAGCAAACAGTGACACTCGTGGGTTGTGGCACCCCCTGCTGGCTCTGTCACTCCATACACTTCACCCTCCTGCTCTGCTAGGCTGTTCCCTGCTGCCGCAGGCTTGGCCACACCTGACTTCATGCTTACTTTACAGCCGTGGCCAAAAGCAGCGACTGGGTGGACCAGTTCCGGGTGAAGTTCCTGGGCTCAGTCCAGGTCCCCTATCACAAGGGCAATGATGTCCTCTGTGCTGCTATGCAAAAGGTACCTAGATCCTCCTCCCTGCCCGAGTTGGCATGGGTTCCCACCTTCAGCCTAGTCCCCATCCTCTCCTAGGTGGGAGGGACACAGGTGTTGAGAGGTGGTAAAGGCTGCAGGGCCCAAACCCTGGAGCCGGGGCTTGTGGCAGAGGGACAGACGGCACCTGACGTATCCTCTGCCCTGTCATCCACAGATTGCAACCACCCGCCGGCTCACCGTGCACTTTAACCCGCCCTCCAGCTGTGTCCTAGAGATCAGCGTTCGGGGCGTGAAGATAGGAGTCAAGGCTGACGACTCCCAGGAGGCCAAGGTGACTGCCCCTGCCCCAGCCCTGCCCCGGCTCACCCACCATTTTGCCATGAAGAGATGTCCATCTTCTCCCAGCCTGCAGTCTGCAGGCGGGAGATCACCTTTTGCTTCTCTTTTCCCTCCTGTAGGGGAATAAATGTAGCCACTTTTTCCAGTTAAAAAACATCTCTTTCTGTGGATACCATCCAAAGAACAACAAGTAAGTGGGGTGGGAGAGGGGTAGAGGCATTAGAGGGTGGTCTGGAGCCGTTATGGGTAGGCCTGAGTCCTGAGTAGGCCTGGTGGGCTTCGAGCCCCTGCTCCACCCACAGATAGACTGCTGTGCTCCCACAGGTACTTTGGGTTCATCACCAAGCACCCTGCCGACCACCGGTTCGCCTGCCACGTCTTTGTGTCTGAGGAGTCCACCAGAGCCCTGGCAGAGTCCGTGGGGTACGTGTGCATGTGTCCTGCCTGGCCCCAGCCCCAGAGCGTCTTCCTCACACTCAGCTCCGTCCCTCAATTCTGACTGCACTGGAGTGGCCTGGAGGGAGGGCTGGGTGGTCTTCAGTAGTTTCCTAACTTTTTCGCAGCTGGACCCTTCCTTCAAATGAAATCTTGCCCAGGAAACCCGATCCATAGAGAACAGAGCTGAGCTGCACCAGCCAGGGGAGCCAGAGGCCCACCAAGGGCCCCCAGGGCTCCAATTTGAGAACTCCAGGTGAAGAGCCTCTGCCTCTCCTTGGCAGTGGCCGCCCGGTCACCTGTGTGTCTTGTCTGCCTGCCTTCTAGGAGAGCGTTCCAGCAGTTCTACAAGCAGTTTGTGGAGTACACCTGCCCCACAGAAGATATCTACCTGGAGTAGCAGCACTGCCTGTCTCTGCACACCCCAGGCCAGTGCCAGGACAGCTGGCTGCTGACAGGAGGTGGCACTGCGAGGAGGGGCACCCCACCACCACCAGAGGATGGGGGCAGGGGTGGCTGGTCCAGGGTGGGGCTGGTGGGGTTAGGGGAGAGGCACACCCAGGTTATTGTACTATATGGGATTAGATTCATTTATGGAGGACAGAGTGGGCTGCCTGGGGTTCGGAGGGGGCAGGGCTGGAGGTGTTGGGCCTGTGGCCATGAAGGATACCCACCCATCCTTGGAGCAGAGGGTTCTGCCCCATCCTGGGCCTCGGTCCCCCTGCCTGGACTCCCTGGCTGTTGGCTCCTGCCTTGACCATGCCCATGCCACCTGCGAGTGCCCACCCTACTCCCTGCCCCCAAACCCAACTGAAGAGCCCTGATCTCAAGCTGAGCCTGGCCACCTCCTGAGGACTTTCCAGTAAGGAAATGGCACCAGGTGGAGGTGAGGCTCTTTTCTCAGCTCTCTGTCACTCATGTGGCCTGAGGATGTCTCTCACCTTCAGTCTTGCCAGCATGCTGGCCCCTGGCAGGCTTAGGACCTCAGCGGGGCAGGAACAGAGGCGGCAGCAGAGCCCTGGCCTGGCAGGAGAAGGAGGCGCTTGCCTGGCCAGGCCTAGCCAGGGTCTCCTGGCCGTTTCAGCTGTAGCCTCATCTTGGTCCTGTCACCCTGGCCACGATTATTAAAGTGCCATTTCCTGTCTGGACCGCAGTGGGTGTATCTCCGTGGACCCCTCCACACCCGGCCCGCACTCCCAGAAAAGCCCAAGCCTTTGCTGTGCAGAATAGTTTTATAAGGGGCTCCCGTCACAAGTGTGCGTCATAGTAATACTCAGCCATGTCTGGCCCGTCTCGCTTGCGCTGCTGGGCTCGGGAGAGAAGGGGCCGTGGCCGTTGTGGCCAGGGGTGCTTGGGTTGGACCCCGTAGTCTAAAGGGAGAGAAGAGGGAGGGAGAGAGAATCTGGGTCTAAAGCAGGCTGAAGTCATCTTTGAACAGGTGATGTTTGGGAAGAGAAGACCGTGAAGGCTAGACCTGTGCCCTCCCCCAGGGAGGGGAGGGGGCAGAAGGGAAGGGGTGAGAGACACTACCATCCACCAGGCCAGTAAGCGGCTCCGAGAGTTCCAGCGGGGCTGAAAAGTCCTCAGGAACAGATCGCTGAGGCCTGTGGGAGATGTTGGGGTGCTCAGCTCTGTCCCCAAAGGCAGGGCAGGCTCTTCAAGGTGCCACCACTAGCACCTCCCTGTGAACAGAGGAATGCCCAGGGTGGGGGAACTCAGCAAGCCCCCGACACCTGGGATAACAGGGCTAGCCTTTCCTCTAGGGAGGCAGAGCAGCACAGCAGGGTCCCCCAGCTCAAAGGCCCTTGGGCCCCTGTGGAGCCCAGCACTCCACCCCGAGGCGTTACCTCAGAGGCTGGGGGCGAAGAAGTGCGGACGCCAGGACGAGGTACAGGAGAAACAGTCTCAGCCCGGCCCTGGGGTACAGAGCCCCCAGCATGGTGAGAACCATCTCCTACAAGGTCCCTGGTCCTAGCTTCTGCCTGCCCTGCCCCCAGCAGTAGGACGGAACCTGCTGCCCAGACTCCCAGGGCCACCTCACAAAGGGCATTAGTTCCAGGGCTCAGTGTCAGCAACAGCTCTGGGGTTAGGCCAGAAACCTCCACACTGACGCTGCAGGCCAGCAGATGCCAAACCAAACTCTGTTAGAGTGTCATTGCCCAAGGACTGAGAGCAGACCTTGGAGTGGGACAGGTCTCAGTTCAGAGTCTGACCTTGCCTCCTGCTAGATAGGCAGGTCATGTAGTCTGTGTGCCTCAGGGTCCTCACCTGGAAGAATGGCTGGGAGCTAATGTACACAGCGTGGCCAACGAGGTCAGGCACACATTAGGCCTGCAACCAAGGTCATGGTCACTGAACTCTCACCACAGACAGCCCCAGCCATTCCCCCTCAGCCTCCTTCCTGTCCTCCCTCCGCGGTCTCCATGGTGCCAGGAAGGTCCTGCCAGCTGAAGAACACAGAGTGGGCCACTTAACCCTGACCCACTGCACAATGCCACCAGGAGAGGGAGGCAGTGCCGGCTCCTCACCTCCCACTCTCTGGGGCATGCCCCACTTTTCTCCCCACAGCTTAGAACACCCTGGCCCAGGGGCACCACAGGTCCCTGCCACCACCCCGAGGCTGGGGAAAGGGTTTTCAGTGAGGTGACAAAGCCCTGGACCTGCTCCCCTAGAGTGGAATCTCCACAGGGGCAGGGATGACGAGGTTTTGTTCACGCAGAATTTCCAGCACTGGACACCTAGTAGGTACTCAATAAATATTTGTTGAGTGAACACATGCAGCATGATAGTATGACGGGGAACACAGGATCACTTCGCGGACCTGAGGCAGAGCTGCGGCCCGCTCATCCTCTTGTTTCTGGTTACGGAAATCCACGGCCCTGCTCCAGTTCTGTGGGATCAAAATCTGAGGCTTGACCCCAAGGAATCGTTATTTTTAATTACCCAGGCGCTTCTACAAAAACAGCAGATCTACTGGCTGGTCCATCCCCTTTAATTGAGCTGCACTCAAGGCCCAGAGAGGGAGATCCCTTGTTTCCAACTCTGGCTCCCCAGGAGTGGCCTCATTCACACTCTTGGTTCAATATCCCGGGAAGCTGACAGGTTCTGGGTTTTCCTTCAGCCCAGTCCTCTCCTGCGCTCTCAGCCCACAGGCTAACTTCTTACAGCTCACCTCCCACGCGCCTGCCTTTGTGTCCTCTGCCCCCACCAAGGTTCGCCCCACCAAGAACCTGGAAGTTCACGCTCTGCCTGTCTCCAAAGCCCCTTGTCCTTAGCTCTTCTTGCCTCCTAGATGCTTCTGGTCCACAATCAGTCCCCAAAGCCTGCTTCAGTTACATCCTCATCTCCCTAGCCCCACCACCATTGCCTTAATTCAACCCTCCGACCAAGACAGGTCTCTGCCCCCAGTGTCAATGCTCATGTCCCCCCAGTTCCACCCACCAGCCCACCCTCCACCAGGCTGCTGGAATAATGTTTAAAAACAAGCCCCTTCCCCACTGCCTGCTACAAGCCAGGCCCGTTTCAAGCCTAGACATGCGATGCTTTCAGTGTGGCCCTGACGTGCCCCTCCAACCTCATCCCCTGGGCCCCAGGCACGACAGCTCCTCACACTTCACTGTGACATGGTCATGGTTCCCCACCCACAACCTCCTTCCCCTCTGCCTAATGAGCACTGTTCATCCTTGAAAATCCTGCATTGCGAGGAGCCTTCCCTGATCATCCAGTCACTCCCTGCACCCATCTCTTCAGGCACACAGTCCTCACCACCACTAGTTCACATTTTTGCTCACACTTCTATTGCAACAACCCGTGCACTGCATGCATTTACATGCCTCCTTTGTTAATCAGTGAGAGCCTGAGAGCAGCTAACTGCGCCATGCTCATTTCTGAGTGCACAGCACGGGCACGGCTTGCAACAGACAAATGCCCAGCGACACTGGTTAAACTCAGCAGAGGCCATGGGCCCCGGAGCTCTTGGTCCTGATCCAAAGTCCAGCCCTTGCCCCTACCCTGTGGGTCACCACATTTTGCTCCCCAGCCGAGGACTAGGGTGGGGAAAGCAATGTCAGAGCAGAGCTAGCACCTCCCAAACAGGATTCTCCACCCAGGGTATTCTGGGGAGGATGAAGCATGGACATGCAGAATGACTGACACCCCAGAAGCAAGTAAGGCACGAAGCCTTCACAATGGAAGGGTCCACCGGACTGGTTAGAAACTCCAGCAGGAAAGGTGTGGCTGTTTACAGGGCAGAGAGAGCAGAAGCAGTGGGGGCAGTCGGGGAAGGACAGGATAGAAAGCAGCCAGCCTGCTGCCCTGCCTGGTCTGGACTAGGCACCTCCACCCTCCAGAGCAGCCTGCACAGCTCCAGGTGGACTTTGCCACTGGGAAGCAGGGAGCTGCAGGCTAAGGGCGGGAGACCCCTGCTCATCCCCTCTGAACTTGCACCCAGCTCTTTTTCACAGCCGCTCAGGCTCCCAGTCCCTCCCCAGCATCGGCCCCAGGACTGGCTGGGGCTTGACTGTCATTCCTATGGGAAAAAGCCTTTTGCGCTCACCTAGGGGTTAGATGCCAGTTTGCATCCAATAGTTGAGAACGCATGGGGCGTTGCAACAAATAGAAGTGTAGTCTGGACTGGGGGTGGTGGGTCAGAGGTGACTGCCTTGGGATGCCCCTCTGCACTGGAGCTGGGCCCACCATCCATGAGGCTGCATCACGAGGATGGCTAGCAGCTACGGCCTGGGGCCACAGGAGTCACAGGCCCTGCAGAGGAAGGGGGCAGAGGGAAGGGGCAGTGGAGGCTCTGGGCAGAAGATGCACTGGGCAGCTGTCATCCCATTGCCCAGGTTCAGTCTTGTCCATTTTCAGCAGGAATCGGTGAGAGAGCAAAGTTTGCCCCTGCAGCTGCTGAGGCAAGCGGCTCCACTTCCCAGACTCAGCAGGGGCCTCGGGGATGTTCAGGTGTTAAACAGCTTTCGATGGCTCAAGGAACCTGGGTCCCAGTTCCTGGTGGCGGTTTGGTGATGCAGTGACAGTATGGGCTGCAGTGCTCTGTCACTGGAGAGGCTATTCAAAGTCATGAGGGCGTTGGGGAGCACTCATGGGGACTGGGGGCTGTGAGCAGAGCCCAGGCAGGGCAGGAAAGCCAGGTGCCCTGGGCATGGGCATAGAGAGGCCACATGCTTGGACGTGGCCAGAGTCAGTTTTATTAGGGAAGAGGGGCCAGGGGACCAAGGGCTGAGCCACCCCTGGCCCACAGCAGCAGACCATGCTGCCCTGCCCCTCCTGACGCCCCACCCCAGGACATGTGTCAGCCCCAACTGTAGAAATAAATTTTCTGCCAAGTGGGCAAGTAATCCATGAGCGGCCCTGCAACAAGAGGGAGGAACAAATACAGGGCTGGGGCTCTGCTCTACCCATGGCCCTTCTACTCCACCACTGCCGCCCAAACAGCCCTCATCTGCACAGCCAGGAGCTCCACTGAGACCCTGCCATCTCCCATTGGGAGGCAACATGGCCAGCAGCCTCTGTCCTATTTACAGACAGGGACCCTCAGGCGCAGAGAAGCCAAATGGCTGGATCCTCTGTAGACAGCCAGATCCAAGTCCTCTCTGTGAGGTGGGGGTCTCAGAGCAACACGGTGGGCATCCTCCTGCCAGACGATCCCTCACCCACATTAGACTGTCTCGTATCACCCCAGGATACTGAGTCAGGAAAAAGGCTTTGAGCCTAATGTGGTCTAACACTCTCCCACCAGGTTACCCCTCCTCCCAGTCACCCCTGAGGGTCTGCCAGTCACCCTGGCCCATTCCCAGGAACTGTCACCCAACCCTGACTGTGCCAAGAATCAAATTACAAGGAGGCTGGGAGAACACCCTCGAGGGAGAAGGGTCCATCCATGAGCCACAGCACTCAATCATCACCCCACTCTACCCCACGCTTACTTGTGATCAGGCCAATGCCAGGGACGTGGTCTGCCAGCAGCTGGAGCAGAAAGAGGATCTTGGCCCTGGAGGGAAGAGATAACATGGATGAGTGGGGGTCTGGGTTCCTGCAAACGAGGGTGCTACAAGCCTTCACTGACTACCTGACTAAAGGCTGTGAGCCAAGACAGACCCCTTACCAAAGGGCGAGGCCGCTGGGGCTGGCTCTGGTCTCTGCCGTCCCCCAGCTACAGCCCTGGATGCTCACCATCAGCTTCCGGTTGGGGCTGTCCTCACAGCACCACCTCAGACACTCTCCCGTTCTTTGTCTCTTGCTCCCTTCCTCCCACTCACACCCAGCAGCACATGCCTCCGAGAGTGCCGAGTATGGAGCAGTGCCAGCGCAGGTGTGGGGGAGGGCTCAGCGGGAGGACAGCACAGGTTCTGCCCTCGAGGGACCCCCAAGGCTGGCAGAGGAGCTAAGCCACACAGAAACCTCACAGGCCAAAGATTAGAGTGGTAAGGGCTCAGCTGCGAACCAAAAGGTTGGCAGCTCCAACGCACTCAGAAGCTCCACGGGAAAAAGACGTGGCAATCTGCTTCTATAAAGATTACAGCCAAGAAAACCCTACGGGCAGTTCTACTCTACCCCATGGGGTCGTTATGAGTCGGAATTGACTTGATGGCACCCAACGACAACAACACTATCAGATATGGCTTAAGAATGCTTTCTACTGTTCCAGAAAAACACACAGGTTATATGGCCATAATAGTAAATGCAATTCTAGTTCACAGTCCAGTCTTAAGCAGGGCATTTATTGAGACCCAGACATAGGGGGTCCCAGGAGCCTCCAGTCTGTCTCACAGCCCCAGCCACTGTGCAGGGACCCCTCCTCAGATCTCATTCTGATCTCAGGCAGTCACCAGGGCAGGGCTTTGGGGGGCCTGGCCCCTCCCACCTGATCCCCTCATCCCCCACAGGTCTTTCTGCATCCGTCTGAGGCTGGGAGCTCTGGACCCACGTAGGTGATGGAGTGGGGGCTCAGCAAGGCAGGGGCAGACCAGGGGAGAACATGAATTTGAGATGTGGCTCTGCCACCAGCCTGCTAGGTGGCTTTGGCGAGTTGCCCAACCTCCCTGAGCCTCAACTGCCTCCTCTGAGAAGTGAGGCTAATCCAAACCACATGCCCAGAAGAGTAGGGAATGAGCTTGGGGATGGGGACAGCCAGCACCCACCACCCTCCCTGCGGGCTGGCCCTCAGTGTCTCTCTGCAGGGGCTGGTCCCATGCTCTGAGGGTGGGGCTGGGCTGGCACCTGGTGAAGAGGGAGTGACTGCACCTGGGCAGCACACAGCACGTGCTCAATGAGCCCTGGATGGGGGAAGGAAGGAGAAAGGGAAGGCGGCGTGGGGGCTGGCGGCCTTGTGCTCTGCTTCCCTTCCCTTGCCCTGCTTGCCTGCGCAGCCATACGGGGTTGGGGGAGACTGGGCCTTACTCGGAGAAGCGGTCGTAGAAGGGGGAGCGGAGCAAGTAGTAGAGCAGCAGGATAGTCCGGCGCCGCAGCTCCAGCCGCTCCCTCTGGGTCAGGCCTTTCCTGTCACTCAGGAGGCTCAGGCTGGGGGTTGGGAGACACAGTCAGGGCCAGGGCATGGTCTGGGCCCATGGGAGGGGAAGGGGCCATGGGCTGCGTCTCCACAGGGGCAGCACAGGAGGAACAGGAGCCACCTGACGAGAGCCAGCCGAGAACCAGGCTCCTCAGGGACAGGAGCACGCAGTGGGGAGGCCCAGCCCAGCCATGTCTATGGGACCATAGCACCAGAGGGGCTGTGTCCTCTCGGCCCTTTGCTTTCACACAACCATGACGAGAGGCAAAAATCTACCCCTGTTCAAGGTCAGGAGAGCGGGGCCTGGAGGGCCACAGGGGACGGTCCAAAGCCCAATGGAGGGAGTGAAGCCACTGAGGCCCAGGCTCACCTGGTCACGTCCACAACACCAGACAGGAGCCAGGGTGTCCACGACCGCTGGCCCCAGAGGCCCAGGCTGAGCACTGATGGCCAAGGCGTCAAGGAGGTCTCCAGCACATGGGCCCGGCGCCCACTCTCCCATCTGCCCCCACCCCGCTGCCCTGGCCCCACCCTGTGCTGAGGATACAGTGCAGCAGGGGCCGGGCAATATACAAGGACTCGGCGATGGTCTCCTGCAGCCCCAATGGGGTGGGGGTGACGCTCAGCTCCTCACGTTGCTGCTGCTGGTGCTGCCCCTCCCGCTGCTGGGGGGCGCCCCAGCGCCTCGAGTGCAGGGACGGGGCTGGAACACAAGGGCCACGGATGAGTGAGCCAGGCCCAAGCCAGGCAGGGGGAATACAGGCAGTGATGGGCGCCATCCCTCAGGCCCACACTGACCTCGGCACTGGATGCCCAGTCCAGCTGCGTCCTACACTTACTGTTCTGGAGGGTTCGCACGACTCGGCTTGACCGCTTCCCCACGTAGAGCTGCTCCTGGCTGCCAGGGCTGGGGTCACCATCTAGCAGGGATAGACAGAAGCCACACTGTCAGGGGGACATGACCCCAGCAGAGCCTACAGAGAACATATGTGGAATGAATGCTCACAAGCTCAGGGAGGAATGGAAGAGCCTGTACAAAGGCAGCAACTGATTCAAGGAAATGGCAGCCAGGGCTGTGGCTCAGCATGGGAACTGTCCACAGGTGGAGCATTCTGCAGCCCTCCCTGGCCTGAAGCAAGGTCAGCAGCATCTGTGAGCACCCAGAGCTGGCCAGGAACCAGGCTCCCCAGAGACTGGAGCAAGGCAGAGGGAGCCCAGACCAGCCACATCTATGGGACCATAGCACCAGAGGGGCTAGGCCCTCTCAGCCCTTTGCTTTCACGTGACCAAGATGAGAGGCAAAGAACTGCCCCCATTCAAGGCCAGGAGAGCAGGGCCCAGAGGCCCACAGGTGATAGGCACCAAGGCCTGACAGGACAGGTTGGCTGGTTGCTCTGCCTCAGGGCGGTGACTCTTGTAGAACGGAGCCCAGAGATGAGGTTGGCAGGATCCCTCTCTCCTGCTGATGCTCCATCCCCTCCTCCTGCCGTCCACAGAAAAGAATGTGGACTCTGATATCAGATGTCCTGGGTTCCAGTTCTGACCCTGTCCCTAACGTAACCTGTTTTCCTTTTCTGTAGAATATAGGTAATGGGGAAAAATTAGTTGATGAGAGTAGATGTATTCCATAAATGGACAATACTATATTCATGTTGGTTAGCCATAAATCCACATCAGTCCCCTCCAGAGTGGGGAGACAGCTTACCTGGGGGTCGCGCCTGGGTGTCCCTGTCCAGAGGAATGATGGGGGGTGAGGTCTGGAGGCCAGCCTTGAACCAAATCAGCAGAAACATCCGCAGCACAGCCCTGGGTTGGGGAGCATGGCAGGGCTGGGGGATGTGGCAAGCTGGTGGGGGTCGGGGTGCTCTGCTGAGCACAATCTGTACAACAGGCCCATCACCCCCACTCAGGTCCTGCCCTCCACAGTCCCAACCTACTTGGCCAGCTGGATGAGGGCAATGACGAGCCAGCGGCCCACTTCACCCCACACCTTGGCAGCCCCCATCTCCATGAACACCTCCACGCACTCCAGCACGCTCAGCCATGTCAGCAGCTTCTGCTGGGACAGCGACTGCAAGAGCCCCAGGCCAAGAGGTCAGGGGGTGCCCCTAGTCCCAGGCACTCCCCCAAGGGAGCTCCTCTGACAGGAGACGTGGACTGCCCCCTTTCCAAGCCAAAGTGTGTAGGACTGGGTTCAAACACCAACTCCACCACTAACAGGCTGGGTAACCTGGAGACAAGCTACTCTACCTCTCTGAAACCCAGTGTCTTCATCCAAACATGAGGCCACGGACACTTTACACTTCACTTAATGAGCTGGTGTGAGGCTCAATGGACAGAAGCCTGTCTTGTACTTTGAGACTATAACACAGGCTGTACACATGGGCTCATTACTATTTCCTTTCTGAGTCCCTGTGCTTCCCACCCCCAATCCCTGGCAGAATCCTCACCACAGGCAACTTTTTCTGAAGCTCCTTCCGTAGGATCCCATCATTGAGCAGCACAAGCAGGTTAGAGGCGGAGTACACTGAGGGGCAGAGTGTGATTGTGAGGGGCTGGCTCTGCAACCTCCACCCGTTACATTCTCCCTAGAGCTGCAGGGATTGCCTGTTACCTGCTGTGCTCGGCCACCCACAGACTATGTGGAAACCAGCCTGCCTCTCCGTCCACCTCAGAGCTCCATGCTCCCCTGTGTGGGTGGCTGGACCAAGAGCGGGTGGGTTGATCTCAGTGATAAAGGAGCTACTGTCCTGCTGGGCAGCACCGATCACCCAGTGCCCAGAGCTCCTGCTGTGTGCCAAGCAGCCATGAACATACAATCCCACCTCCTGGCCTTTGCTGTCTCTGCAGCCTGTCCCTGAAATTCTACTCCCTCCCTTCCTTTCAAAACCCAGTTCATTCTCTCAGGGTCGTCACCTCCAGTACTCACTGGAAAAGCACATATTGAGGCAGTTACAGTCTGGGGAGCCTGGAATTTGAGAGATCTGGATTTGAATCCTGGATCTGGGACCATCAGTGGCTGGAACCCAACCTCAGTGAACTTCTGCTCCCTTAACCGGACAGCAAGGACAATAACAGCATCCACCTCATTGGACTGTAGGGAGGATTAACTGGGCAAAGGCAGGAAAGGTGCTTAACCTAGCGTCTGACTGGCAGTGAACACTCAGTCAAGGTCCCCAGACAAGTGTCTTCACTACAGGGACACGAAGAGCCCAAGAGAGTGGACACAGGCTTTTGTCCGATTCAGGATGATGTAACCGACAGCCCAGGACCCAAGCCGGGGTAGTCACCCCCTCTGGAAGCTTTCCTGGGCCCTGGTCCATCTCCACCCACCCCAGAGATCGGCTCACCCAGCTCCGACAGCTCGTGTGAATCGGCGAAACGACCTGGGGAGAAGGCACGAAAGAGGTGTTGGTGAGCAGATGCCTCATCCTGCGGCTTTGGGTCCCCAGACGTCCCTTCCCTGTACCCTACGGGAACGTGGAAGGGACTTCCGAAGCGCAGCGGTCATCACTACGACTCCGCAAGAAGGGGTCGGTGGGGTCAGAGGTCAGGGCCCCAAAGGTATGGGTCAAAGGTCAGGGTGGCACCTGCCAGCAGGTAACTGAGGCCCCGCACTGCCGTCTCCAGCTGGGCCGTGGCGGCAGGGTGACGAGTCACGTACTCCTGGTAACGGAGGCCCAGGAGCCGCAACTTCTCCATGCTGCCCCTCCGGACTGACAGACCCACAAGCCGACAGAACTGTCTGCAGCTCCCTGCTTCCTGCGCCCTCCTTCCTGCTTCCGGTCCTAGGCCCGCCTCTCCGTTGCTTAACTTCCGCGGGCCAGAGGGACGGCGACGCGAAGAGCCATTGAACCTCCCTTCACCCCATCTCTTAAATCACCTTCCACTCCGGTAGCGTTAAGCAACTGCGACCCTAATCCCGCCCTCCCTGCTTCTTCAAGTCATTGGTTAACACACTCTCCGCCCCGACACACCCAGAAGTCGTTGGGACCAGGCTCTTCCGCCTTCCGGGTTGGCTGCCCTTGCGCCTGCGCACTTGCGGCTCCGGGAAAGCGCTGGCGGCAGTCGGAGCAGTTCATTCTAGAGAGGAGGCAAGGAGGCCTGAATCGTTCCAATCGAACGCCGAGAGGCTCGAACGGGAGGCCCGGCTGTATAAGAGCTGGGAAGTTGCGCGCGGAAAGGAACCTCGGCAAGACTTGGAGAGGAGCGAGGAGAGTCTTTAAGGACAGTCGGACTGTGTCTTGGCAGGCTCGCCTTTGGCCAGTTGCCTCGTCTCCCGTCCCCCAACAGAGGTGGTGCTGGGAACACTGAGGGCAGCGAGGAGCCCAGCCTCCTAGCGCCGTCTCGATCCCTTGGCCAGCACCGTCAGTGCTGCGGTCCCACCTCCCGCACGGACTGGGCCTCCAAGAACTCGCACCTGCACTCCCACCTCCGCGGAGAAAACCCTGGCCTAGCCTTCCTTCTGCTCTCGGCTCGAGGAGACCTTGGGTGGGAGTTTCCCCTCTCTGGGCCTCGGGTTTCCCCTTCTGTACAGTGGTTTGAGGGCCGCCTTGGTCCTTGAACTCAGGATCATCTCAGAGTACTTTCCGGCCCCTAGATGCGCCTCCTGGTCCTCAGCCGTGCCCCAAGGGATGGAGACTACCCCTGGATCCCTTCCCAAACCGTACAGGCTCCTTGGAATGGGAGAACTGCGGCCAGAGGTGGAGGGAACCGATGCTGCAGGGAGGCGGCCGCTGATTGGCTGCAGGAAGGGGGCGGGCCTGCGCCATTGGTGACCGAGCCCCCAGGTTTTCAGTAGCTGAGAATAATAATACTGTACACTATTTTACATAATTCCTTTTCCAGAAAGCCCTGGTGATGCTGTGTTTAAGCGCTTGGCTGCTAACCGAAAGGTCTGAGGTTGGAATCCATCAGCTGCTCCCGGGAGGAAGATGTGGCAGTCGGTTTCCGTAAACGTTGTTAGGTGCCATCAAGGTAGTTCCAACTCATAGCGATCCTATCTACAAAGAACGAAACACTGCCTGATCTTGCGCCATCCTGTTGCTGTGCTTGAGCCCATCGCTGCAGTCACTGTGTCAATCCATCTCGTTGAGGGTCTTCCTCTTTCTCGCTGACCCTCTGCTTTACCAAGCATGATGTCCTTCTCCAGGGACTGGTCCCTCCAGATAACGTGTCCAATGTAGGCAGTCTCCTCATTCTAGTTTCTAAGGGGCATTCTAGTTGTACTTCTTCCAAGACAGATTTTTATTTGTTCTTCTGGCAGTCCATGGTATATTCAATATAATACAAAGGCGTCAATTCTTTGATCTTCCTTATTTATTGTCCAGCTTTAGCATGCATACGAGGCAATCGAAAATACCATGGCTTGGATCAGGTGCACCTTAGTCCTCAAAGTGACATCTTTGCTTTTTAACACTTTACAGAGGTCTTTTGGAGCAGATTTGCCCGATGCAATATGTCGTTAGATTTCTTGACTGCTAGTTCCATGGGCATTGATTGCGTATCCAAGTAAAATGAAATCCTTGACAACTGCAGTCTTTTCTCCGTTTATCATGATGTTGCTTATTGGTCCAGTTGTGAGGATTTTTGTTTTCTTTATGTTGAGGTATAATCCATACTGAGGAGTATATAGTCTTTGATTTTCATCAGTGTTTCAAGTCCTCTTCACATTCAGCAAGCAAGGTTGGGTCATCTGCATATTGCAGGTTGTTAATGAGTCTTCCTCCAATCCTGATGCCACATTCTTCTTCATATAGTCCAGCTTCTCAGATTATTTGCTCAGCATAGAGATCGAATATGGTGAAAGGATACAACCCTGATGCACACTTTTCCTGATTTTAAACCATGTGTTATCCCCTTGTTCTGTTCAAACGACTGCCTCTTGGTCTATGTACAGGTTCCTCCTGAGCACAATTAAGGTTTCTGGAATTCCCATTTTCACAATGTTATCCATATTTTGTTATGATCCACACAGTTGAATGCCTTTGCTTAGTCAATAAAACACAAGTAAACGTTTTTCCGTATTCTCTGCTCTCAGCCAACACCCATCTGACATCAGCAATGATATCCCTCATTCCATAACCTCTTCTGAATCCGGCTTGAATTTATGGCAGTTCCCTGTCCATGTACTGCTGCAACCACTTTTGAATTATCTTCAGCAAAATTGTACTTGCTGGTGATATTAATGATATTGTTTGATGATTCCCACATTCTGTTGGATCACCTTTCTTTGGAATGGACACAAATATGGATCTCTTCCAGTTGGTTGGCCAGTGTCATGGATTGAATTGTGTCCCCCAAAAATACGTGTATCGATCTGGCTAGGCCATGATTCTCAGTATTGTGTGATTGTCCACCATTTTGTCATCTGATGTGATTTTTCTATATGTTGTAAATGTTATCTCTATGATGTTAATAGGTGGGATAGGCGGCAGGTGTGTTAATGAGGCAGGACTCAATCTACAAGACTGGATTGTGTCTTGAGCCAATCTCTTTTGAGATATAAAAGAGAGAAGCGAGCAGAGAGACAGGGGGACCTCATACCACCAAGAAAGCAGCACCAGGAGCAGGGTATGTCCTTTGGACCCAGGATTCCTGCGAGGAGAAGCTCCTAGTCAAGGCGAAGATTGATGACAAGAACCTTCCTCCAGAGCTGACAGAGAAAGCTTTCCCCTGGAGCTGACACCCTGAATTTGAACTTCTAGCCTACTAGACTGTGAGAGAATAAACTTCTATTTGTTAAAGCCATCCACTTGTGGTATTTCTGTTATAGCAGCCCTAGATAAATCAGGTAGCCAGGTGGCTGTATTCCAAATTTCTTGGCATAGACAAGTGAGCACCTCCAGCACTACATCAGTTTGTTGAAACATCTCAGTTGGTATTCCATCAATTCCTGGAGCCTTGTTTTTCACCAATGCCTTTAGTGCAGCTTGGACTTCTTCCTTCAATACCACCAGTTCTTGATCATATGCTACCTCCTGAAATGGCTGAACATCAATCAGTTCTTTTTGGTACAGTGACTCTGTGTATGTATTCCTTCCATCTTCTTTTGAAGTATCCTGTGTCGTTCAATATTTTGCCCATAAACCAAACCAAACCCATTGCCATCGAGTCGATTCTGACTCACAGCGACCCTAGAGGGCAGAGTAGAACTGCCACATAGGGTTTCCAAAGAGGGGCTGGTGGATTCAAACTGCTGACCTTTTGGTTAGCAGCCTGAGCTCTCAACCACTGTGCTGCTAGGGCTCCATTTTGCCCATAGAATCCTTCGATATGGCAACTCAAGGCTTGAATTTTTTTCTTCAGTTCTTTCAGCTTAAGAAATGCCAGGCATGTTCTTCCCTTTTTGTTTTCTAAATCCAGATCTTTGCACATTTCATTATGATACTTTACTTTTTCTTCTCAAGCTGCCCTTTGAAATCTTCTGTTCAGCATCCTGGCCTCACTGAGGAGTCTTGGGGGTGTCAGGCTAGGCTGTGCATCCACAGCCTCTTTTGAGACCTCTCAGGCCCTCAGTTTTTATAGCCAGAAGTTAGGGGAAAGGATGCTGTCCAAGTCGTTTTCCATGTCCCTGTGAGGCCCAGCTGAGTCCATGGAAGGAAGGCTCTCATTCCCATCCACTTTCAACACACATTTACTGAGCACTGGCTATGTTTGGGAGCCCTGGTGGCTCAGTGGTTAAGAGCTTGGCTGCTAACCAAAAGGTCGGGAGTTTGAATCCACCAGCCACTCCTTGGAAACCCTATGGGGCAGTTCTACTCTGTCCTCTAGGGTCGTAATGAACTTATAATGAGTTGGAATCGACTCCATGGCAATAGGTTAATCCTCTCTTCCAGATAAGGAAAGGATACATGTAATAACTCCCAGTCAAGATTCGAATGCTGGTCTAGTCTGACTACAGAATTCATGTGTTAAGCTACACACCTTACCAGGAAGCCATTACCCTTCCTTCCTTCCACTGCCTTCTCCACCACCCACCCCAGCTTCACTTTTGTGCTACGTGAGGTGGGGAATTATAGCTGCTCTCCCTCCTCATGCCAAGGAATGAGGACCCAGGCGGCTGTATTCAGGGCCTCAGGAGAGGCAAAGGTCTTGGAGAACAGAGGGGCTGGGAATCCAGGAGGCAAGGTGACAACTGGGATTAGGACCAGCACACAGGGCATTCAGTGCACAGGGCATTCAGCATGTGGACACTTTCTCCCTTCCTCTCTCCACCCACCATCACAACGAACTTGTTTCCCCAAACTTCACCATTGCCACTCCTCCAGCCCCTTCCTCTGCAGCTGTGGAAAGAGAGGAGCGTGGGAGTGGGAGGTTTCTTGGGCACTCCCAGGGCTGGTGGTCCCAGGACTGTGCTTCTGGGGAGTGAGAGGTGTGGAAGACAGAGGAGCAGCCTCCCCCAGGCAGTCTGTGTCCCTGCAGCCAGGAGATGCTGGGCCTGGAGCCTAGTCTTCCTCCCTCCCTCCAGAATTTGGAGGGAGCCTAGGCCCAGCCAGGTTGGCAGCAGCAGGGCTGCCTGAACTTCCTCTGCAGATCCTGGGCCTGATAAGACCCCAAAGACAAAGAGTGCGGTGTGTGCAGGAGGCGCCCAGGGCAGCCTCTCCCTGCTGGACTCCTGCCGGGACCTGGCCACCTGGCTGGGCTAGAAGGGCTTCTAGGCAGGTTGGGTCAGATCCTCGCTCCTTCCGTCTGCTCAGAGTCACAGGAGAAGAGAGAGACGAGTCTAATAGCTACAGATGAGAACACTGAGGCTCAGAGAGGGGAGCTGATTGGTCCAAGATCATACTGGTGGTCCTGGGCAGATCTGGGCTCAAACTCAGTCTTACACCTAGAGGACCAGCACCTTTTCATCTGCCCATACCTGTCTCCCTTCTCTCCCCCTCCACCCCAACTCACACCCCAGAATAACCTCTTGCAGACCCAGCAGGCATCTCTACACCTCAGTTTCCCCTGAGTAGTAAGGCTGAGGTAGGCCTGGGGCCAGCATTGTAAGTGACCACAGATCTGTAGACCCAGGTCCTCCCACTGAGCCCCCTACCCCTTATTGAAGGCTTATCCTGGGCCAGGCCCTCACTGTGTGCCTTACCTGCTCCCTCACATTTAACTCCAACCCCCGCCCCCAGTATCTTTCCAGGGTCTTGGGGAGGGAACGGCCCACCCCACCCCAGCTGCAGGCTGGAGATGAGGATCAGGGGGCCTGGAGGCTCAAAGCTCCAATGCCTGGGTGCCCCCTCTTATATCCCCATCTCCTCACAACTCCCAGAGACACTAAGAGCCGCCCTCAGTTTCCATAGCAACCATTACCCTCCTGGCCTCCGGAGGTCCAGAGTTCGGCATTCCTTGCAAGCCCCCTTCTCCCTTAGAAAGGCAACTAGGCCTCACTGAGGAGTCTTAGGGGCGTCAGGCTAGGCTGTTCATCCACAGCCTTTTTGGGGGCCTCTCAGGCCCTCAGATTTTATAGCCAGAAGTTAGGGGAAAGGATGCTGTCTAAGTCCCTTTCCAAGTCACTGTGAGGCCCAGCTGAGTGCATGGAGTGCAGGCTGTCATTCCCATCCACTTTCAGCACAGATTTACTGAGCACTGGCTATGTGCCGGTCACTGCTTAGACACTGAGGACCCGGTGCAGGACAAAATAGACAGGTCCCTGTCTCCCCCACAGCTTAATTCTTGTGGGGAGACAGGCAATAAACAAGTAAACAAGTTCAGATGGTGATTGGTGGTAAGAAGAAAACAGGGATGAATAAACATAGGATGTCACTGGAGGAGCCAGGAGCTGGCCTTGTGAGGGTCCGCATTCCAGGCAGAAAGAATGTCAAGGGCAAGTCCCAGGCAAAAACACTTAAAGAGGAACAGAGGACAGGCAAGAAGGCTTTCTCTGCAGGGTGGCGGGCAGGGCATGAGAGGGTGTCTTAGTTATCTGGTGCTGCTATAACAAAAATTCCACAAGTGGGTGGCTTTAACAACAGAAATTTACTTTCTCACAGTTTAGGGGACTAAAAGTCCAAATTCAGGGTGCCAGCTCTAGGGGAAGGCTTTCTCTGTCTGTCGGCTCTGGAGGAAGGTGCTTGTCTTTTCTGAGCTTCTGTTGCTTGATATTCATGTGGCTTGGCATCTATCTTCCCCCATCTCTGTTTACTTATCTGTCCTAATCTGCTCTTTTTATATCTCAGAGGTGACTAGTTTAAAACACACCCTACACTGATATGGCCCCTTAACACAACAAAGAAAACTCATTCTCAAATGGGATTATAACCACAGGTATAGGGATTAGGATTTACAACACATATTTTTTGGGGGACACAATTCAATCCATAACAGAAGGGATACTTGGGACTGCAAAGGGCCAGAGGGTGTTTTTGTCTGTGAGGTCACTTCAGCTCTCTGGGGGAGAACTGTGCCTGAGGATTAATTGAGATGAGGGAGGTCCAACCCTTAGCACTGAGCCTGGCACCGAGCGTTCAGTCAGCCATCGCTGTTCTAGTTAACGGTCCAGATCGTCCACCACTCACTCCAGGGCCAGAGGCGACGCTGGGGCCAGCTGTAGAGTTCGAGGGGCAGGAAGAGGAGGAGACCCAGGCAGGCGGGGGTGTGGGGCACAGTCCCGAGGGTCCCGACGAAGGCGCGGGATCCCCAGCCGCGCCCAGCCACCCAAGTCAGAGCTGCCCCTGCTAGCTTTCGGGCGGGAGGCGACTTTCACAACTTCACAAGGCCGCTTTGTTCCCACCGCGCTGGGGCCGCCGCCGGCTGGGCCACCTGGGCTGGGGGGCTGAGGCTCTAGGTGTTCGGTGGCTCCCGGGCAGGTCTTGGCTGGCCCCGCCTCCCGTCGCCAGAGCAGGTGCTCATGAACCCTGAGGCCTTGCATTCCAGCCCCCTCCTCCTTAGCCCCGCTGCGCTCCGACCTTCTCTTTGATACCCGGCTGGGGTCACGGGCCCCTCCTCCAGGGGCGATTAAGAGGAGGAGGCCGGGCCCCAGAGCTGGGAAGAGGGGGATGGGCTCGAGAGCAGGTAACAAGGACTGGGCCTTCCTGGTGTCGTCACCCTGGTGAAGTCCAGCCATTTTCCCAGTCTTGGTGGGAAACTCAGCCCAGAGAGGGGGTTCCCCGGGTTCCTCTCTGGCGGGGAATGGTGTTAGCTGCCCGGGCAGGGGCGGGGTCAGTCCCCCGGGGTCTCCCCGCCCCTTTGGGCTCAGCCAAGCGGAGGTGAAACCTGAGCCCAGGTTGGGGGCGGGGTCGGCTCTTGCTGGGATGGGGCTAGTCCGCGCCTCGCCCCCGTCCCCGCACCCCGCAGGCCGCGGGAAGAGCTGGGCCGGGGCCGGGACCCGGACCGCTGGAGCAGGTGAGTGTGGCGACGCAGCGCGGGAGCGAGGACGGGCGGCCGTCGGGCCTCGCCGCACAAGGCTGACCCTCATCTCTCCCTGCTCACTTCCTAGGGCCTGCGATGGAGCTCGCAGCCCGGGGGCACACCCGGTCCTGAACGCCCCTGCACGCGGCCATGCTACCCCGAGGGCGCCCCCGGGCGCTGGGGGCCGCCGCGCTGCTGCTGCTGCTGCTGCTGGTCGGATTTTTCCTGTTCGGCAGGGACCTGGAATGTGAGTGCCGTGAGCGGGGATGGCGAGCGGAGGGCCGGGAGTTCCTGCCCTACCCTCTGACTCCACATGTCCCCCCAGACGGGCGGCTTCGCGGGTCTGCCTCACTCGACGGAGAGCTGACGTGGGACCACAATCGCTCGGCCTGCGTCCCGCTGCGGTCGCTGCAGCCCAAGTGCGAGGTAGGTGCGCGCGGCCCCTGGTGGCGTGAACCCCGAGGGCGCCGCGTCCCTAGCCCGGCCTCCCGGGCCCAGCCTGACCATTGTGGGAGTCACAACACCTGGTGTCGGCTCGTGCATTGACCAGCCAGCTGGAGGAGCCTAGAATTTGCCCCTCTCCTGCTCCCAGCCTGTTTCCCCATTTGTAAAGTGAGGGGTGTGGACTCCTGCCCCTCCTCTCTCTTCCCTAGTTCTGACCCTGGAGTGGGGCTACCATTGCCCTAGGCCAGGCCAGCTCAACCAGGGGTCCTCACCGTTTAGTGGAGGAGAGGGATGGCTGCCGACCTCGGTGTCCCCTCCTCAGCTCTTGCATGTGGCCATCGTGTGTGCAGGCTATAACTCCAGCCGAGATGTCATCACCCTGGTGAAGTCCATGCTCTTCTACAGGTACAGCCAGGTGTCAGTGGGGGACAGGGACGGAATATCTAATAGGCAAGGTAAGCATGTTGCCTACCTTGCTTACCAGATCATCTGTAATGAACAATTCCACGTTTTCACCACATCAAAGACTCTCCTTCTAGGGATGGCTGGCATCTGTCTCTCTCCCAACCCCAAAGCACCTTCCTATAGAATTAAAGCCTGTTTTTACATCTACCATACCTGACAGGGACCGATGATCCAGTGAGCAAGGTAAGCACGGGCTTACTTGTGCTTACTTACTAATCTGTAGTGAATAATTTCATGTTTTTTCACCACATCTAGTGAACAATTTCACATTTTTCATCACATCTTTGATGTGGTGAAACCCACGTGAAACTGTTTACTACAGATTAGTAAGAAACAAGCCCATGTATTCACTACAGATTAGTAAGCACAAGTAAGCCCCTGCTTACCTTGCCTATTGCATAATCCTTCCCTGGTTGAGGAGGATTAGAAGTGGGGAAGGGCACAGAGTCTTAGGCAAGTCTCTGGGTCTCAGAGTCTCAACTTCCCCATCTGTGACATGGGGACAGTGTCCTCTTCCTCCCTTGAAGGGTGGTGGTGAGACTGCTGAGCTGGGGATGGATACGTCCTGCAGAAGACAGTGCTTCCACCTCCGAGCCCCTCGGGGTGGAGGCTGGCCGTGCTGTTCCTGCTGGGGCCCCTCAGACCTCCTCCTCTGTCCACCTCAAAGGAAAAATCCTCTGCACCTCCACTTGGTGACTGATGACGTGGCCAGAAACATCCTGGAGACGCTCTTCCATACGTGGATGGTGCCTGCTGTCCGGGTCAGCTTCTACAACGCCAACGAGTTCCAGGCAGGAGCCCTGATGCTTCTGCTCTCCTCCTCCGAAGTGTCCTTTCATCTTCTTTCTCCCCCAGTGGTCAGAGCTGCCTGGGACCCTCCCCCATCCCGTCACATCTTTTGAAGCCCAGATCCCTCATCCCACTTGGGGTTCACCCCTCCCTCCCACTCTGTCCCCTGATGAGTGTGTGCTGGCATTCGATGGCACAGCTCTGCTAACCTCATGGCCTGCCCTTTACTCCCACAGTCCCAGGTCTCCTGGATCCCCAACACACACTACTCTGGCCTCTATGGGCTCCTGAAGCTAGTGCTGCCTGATGCCCTGCCCCCTGACCTGGTCCGTGTCATTGTCCTTGACACGGACATCACCTTCGCCTCTGACATCGCAGAGCTCTGGGCATTCTTTGCTCACTTTTCTGGTGAGAGGCCAGGGACCCCTGCCCCAGCTAGTCCCTGTCCCTGGCCTGTCCAGGACCCCTCTGCCGAGGTCCTGTGGCAGCCTCAGGCAGCTTCCTCGTGCCCTCCCCTCTCAGACAAGCAGATGATTGGTCTTGTGGAGAACCAGAGCAACTGGTATCTGGGCAACCTCTGGAAGAATCACAGGCCCTGGCCTGCCTTAGGCAGGGGATTTAACACAGGTGGGGACAGTGTTGGGGGGAGCCGGGGCAGGAGGGGTGGGCTGCTGGTCCTTGGGCCCCAGAGGCTGGGCAGGAAACAGAATGCTAGGAAGCCCCCCACCCCCGCCCCAGAAGAATAGTGTTATGGAAAGAACACTGGATGAATAGCCAGAAAACAGTTCCAACCTTGACTCTACATGCTACATGAATTTGGCCAAGTTGGTTGGTCCCTCCAAGCCTCAGTCTTCCTCATCTATTAAATGGGGATGATTGTATCAGCCTTAGAATGACTGAGTGTGAGAATATGGCTGGGGAGGTGCTCCCCTTCAGCCCCTAAGAAGATTATTTACAGAGGTAGTCCATGATCATGTCTGAACAGTTAGAAAATATCAGTAAGTCAAAAAATAACATTCTAGAGACACCTTCATGACCCCTGCCCCCCAGGAGCTGTGTTGTCCCTGGGTGGGCATGACAACCTCTCACCATCGGCAGGCGTCATCCTCCTGCGGCTGGACCGGCTTCGGGAGGCTGGCTGGGAGCAGATGTGGAAGGCGACGGCTCAGCGGCTGCTCCTAACCCTGTCCACCACCTCTCTGGCCGACCAGGTCTGGGGGAACCTTTGGGAGGGTGAGGGGCAGGCTTGGGGCTGGATGTGTGACAGCTGTCCCTGCCCAGGACATCTTCAATGCTGTAATCAAGGAGCATCCAGGGCTGGTCCTGCTCCTACCCTGCATCTGGAACGTGCAGCTGTCGGACCACACATTGGCCGAGCATTGCTACTCTGAGGCGTCAGACCTCAAGGTGAGTGGGCAAGGGGGCTGGGGGGAGAAGAATGGGGACTCCTGCTCCCTGCCCCCACCCCACCGACACCCTCCCTGGGCTCAGGTGATCCACTGGAACTCGCCAAGGAAACTGCGGGTGAAGAATAAGCACGTGCAATTCTTCCGCAACCTCTACCTGACCTTCCTGGAGTACGATGGGAACCTGCTGCGGACAGAACTCTTTGGGTGCCCCAGCCAGCCCCCACCTCGGGCCGAGCAGGTGAGACAGAGCCACCTTCCCTAGTCTTGGGGAGGCCCTGCCCCTCTCTACTCTGGCAGGCCCCAGCATTGTCTCGGGTGACATGTCCTCCTGCCCCAGCCCTGGTCCTCCTCCCTCTCCCCCAGCTGCAGCAGGCCTTGGCCCAACTGGACGAGGAAGACGCTTGCTTTGAGTTCCAGCAGCAGTGGCTCACTGTGCACCGCGTGCACCTCACCTTCCTGCCCCTTGACCCGCTGCCGTCCGAGGCCCACGATGTCACCTTGGTGGCACAGCTCTCCATGGACCGGTGAGGGTGCTGAGGGCAGTCCCAGGGCACACAGCATGGGCTAGTAGGAGGAAGAGCTCTCACTGCCTGCTGGTGTGGTAGCGAGCTGCCTGTCCCTCAAGGGGTCCCAGAAGCTGGAAACACACGGTGGAGCCAGCTTGGGCTTTGAAGTCATTCAGATACCCAGAACTGTCCGTCAGTAGCCATGGGACTGTGGGCAAGTCTTAGTATCTCTGGACTTCAATTTTCTCATCCATAGGATGAGAAAGTACTCACCTTGTGGGGTAGTTGTGAAGATTAAGCAAGACCCAGCTCCAAAGGGGCTTGCCAAGTACTCAGTAAGTCACCTGAGGGGGTGCCCGCAGCAGCTAACTTAGGGGAGGACTGCTGCCATCCCCGGGCTCCTGCGGGAGAGAGGCTGACCTGGGCTGACCACCCCCCTCATCCCAGCCTGCAGATGCTGGAAGCCCTGTGCAGCCACTGGCCGGGCCCCATGAGCCTGGCCTTGTACCTGACAGATGCAGAGACCCAGCAGTTCCTGCGTTTCGTGGAGGCCTCGACGGTGCTCTCTGCCCGGAGCAATGTGGCCTACCATGTGGTGTACCGTGAGGGTCCCCTCTACCCTGTCAACCATCTTCGCAATGTGGCCTTGGCCCAAGCACTCACGTCCTACGTCTTCCTCAGTGACATTGACTTCCTGCCTGCTTACTCCCTCTACGGCTACCTCAGGTGGGCCTGAGGAGGGAGTGAGAGGGATAGCATGTGGGGTGGATGTGGACGAGGTGAGGGCGTATCCTGTGACCTCAGGCACGTATGTCCTTGCTCCTTTCTGGGCCTCAGTGTCCTCTGTAAAGTGGGGTATTAGGTCTGGGGGGTCCACATAGTTTTTCTGGGCTGCCTTAGGAGAGTAGGGGAGGCTGGGATCTCCTTCAAACAGATTTACTGGTATCTACTCCACTTGTATCTATCTTATTCTGGGTGTCAGGGTGAGATGTCCTTTGAAGGAGGGGTTCTTCCTTTGAAGGAGGGGTTCTTCCTTTGAAGGAAGGGTTCTTCCTTGAAGGAAGGGCCCAGTGCTGGAGGCAGAGTCCTCCTCTCTCCTGTTCATGGACGCTCCCTCCTCAGGGCCTCCATCAAACAGCTGGATCTGGGCAGCCAGCGGAAGGTGGCTCTGGTTGTGCCAGCATTCGAGAGCCTGCACTACCGCCTCAGCTTTCCCACTTCCAAGGCTGAACTGCTGGCCTTGCTGGACGCCGGCTCTCTCTACACCTTCAGGTAGGAGAGACCACTGCTCTGCCAGCTGTATTTCCCCATACTGGCCTCCAGGACCCACGAGCTCCCCTCCATGTTCTGCTCCACAGGTACGACGTATGGCCCCGGGGTCACGCACCCACAGACTATGCCCGCTGGCGGGAGGCTCGGGCCCCATACCGAGTGCAGTGGGCAGCCGACTATGAGCCATATGTGGTGGTACCACGCGAATGTCCCCGCTATGACTCCCGTTTCGTGGGCTTTGGCTGGAACAAGGTGGCCCACATCGTGGAGCTGGACGCACAGGTGAGGAGGGCGCCTTGCTGCCTCCAGCTTTGATTTGAAAACCTCCAGGTACAGGGAACTCACTCCACCTCTGCGGGGCATACTGCCCCACTGGGCTGCACCCCTAGAAAATTCTCCCTTTGTACAACTAGAGTCATCTGTCCTTTGGCCCGTTTTGGCTCCCAGGGGTTCCCCACTGCACAGAGCTGCAGTCTTCCCCCAGCCCAGCACCAACCGTTCCTCTACCCCACCCTGGCAGGAATATGAGTTCCTGGTGCTGCCCGAGGCCTTCACCATCCACATGCCCCATGCGCCAAGCCTCGACATCTCCCGCTTCCGCTCCAGCCCCGCCTATCGTGACTGCCTGCAGGCCCTCAAGGATGAATTCCACCAGGACTTGTCCCGCCGCTATGGGGCTGCTGCCCTCAAGTACCTCACTGCCCTGCAGCAGTCCCGAAGCTCCGCATGACCCTCTCGAGGCTGGGGCTCCTTCACTTTGGCTCAGGGCAGCCTTGCCGCCCCACCTACCCCCTCCAACCATCACTGCTATTTATTTAGGGTTTCTATGGGAAGAGCTGGAAGGGAGGGGGCATCTGTGGGTGGGTCCTGGGGTCCTCCCCTTGCTGCTACTTTCTGACTGGCCCTGCCCCATCTGGTTTGGGGCTGGTTCCCCCATCTCAGCTCTTGACACCTCTTTTTTGTAGTTAAAGTTTTAAAAAATTCCTTTCATGTTCCTCTTCGTTTTGGGGATCAAGGGCTCTCTGGGGCATGCTACGTCTGGCTCCTGTCACAGGAGGGGCTGGGTCCCTCCCAAAAGCGTGAGCTGAGGGCGGCCGGTGGCTAGCCCTGCAGTTGTCCTACCCACCCTCCCTGCCCCAAACCCAATACCATGAGGCCGAGAGACTTCATTTGGCTTTATTTAGTAAAATGTTAAAATAAATAAATACAAATTGATCAGCTGCTCTGTAATCCCCCCACCCCCTCAAAACAAAAACCAAACAAACAAAAACTTTGAAGCACAAAATTCCAAATACAAGTTCTACCAAGACTGAAATCACAAAGGGCGTGGACAGAAGAGACAGGGTTGGGGCTGGCTGGCTCTTTCCTCCTCAGAGCTGACTGACCTCTGGCCTGCCCCGTCCTGCCGTGCCTGACCGTAGGGGACCCTGGGCTGAGGATGGAACCACACCGGGTGGAGGCGCAGGGGCTGAGGGCTGCTGCTGTGGGTGAGCGTAGTGTCCTCAGTGAGGAGGGGCCGGGGGGGGGGGGCGGGGAGCGCAAAACAAAATCTCTGAGTCCTGCCCTCCCTTGAGGAGCTATTTTTAAGAGTTCTCACCTTCAGCTTCCCCCCTCACTTCGCTGGTGGGACGGCCAGAAAGGAATCTTCCCAGGGGCCTCCTACTCCCTCCTGGGAAAGGAGCTGACATTGAGGACAGGCTGTTAAGTCAGGGCGAAAATGAGACTCCTGTTTCCTGCAAAGGGTGCCCAGCTGAGGGGTGGGGTAGGGCCCAGACATTTACCCAGAGCTAAGCTGCCTCATCCAACATCAACCACAGGATCTGGAAACCCAGGGCCTGGAAAATGTACCTGGGTCCCATCGGCTCCAGGACCCAAATAACCTTTTGCCCCTGCGGTAAAAAGCTCCAAAATTAAGCCCTTTGGATAGATATGAAAGACCACACCCTAAAAGGGAATGAAGGGAGACACCACTTAGAGTGCCTGTGAGTTGGGGATCAGCGGTGCGGCCCCCAGAGAGAAAGTATCAGAGAGATGGTTACAGAGATGACGGCACACACAGACTTGGTGATCTGGAAATTCAGCTGCCCTCCCTCCCAGGGAGAGCCATGGAGGGAGGTGCTAGGCTGGAAAGAGCTGTGGGCTGAGCCTGAGCCAAGAACTTCAGAGAGTTGGTGAAGAAGCAGGACAGAAGGTCAGGCCTGTAGGGAAAGCAGGCACTTGGATAGTGCAGCTGGAGGCCACCTACGGCCGGGTCGTAGGCTCTAAAGGCGGGCCCCACACAGGGGAGGCCCCAGTGGGGCGGCCCCGAGCTGGGTCCCCCTGCCAGGTACAACCAGCAGGCTTGCCCCAAAGGGCCTGATAAGGAAGGCAGACTGACTCTGGGTGAGCTCAGTGGAGGTGAGACAAGGTGAGACAAGACTCAGCAGGCTTCACAGAGGAAAAGTGCCTGCAGGTGGCAAAAATAAAGAGATGACTGCAACATGACCTCACTGCTCCCGGGTCCCAGCGCCTGACCCACAGGACCAACAAGGAGGATTCCTAGTCAAGGGCACCGCGAGCAGCCTCTTCCCAACCCCAGACCTGCCTCTCCCAGGCCTCTGAATTGACTGAAAGAAAGTCAGCTGGTCTCAGGTTTCTGGCTGGCACCAGAGATGGCTGTGGCTGGTTGCTGTCGATTCCGACTCACAGCGACTCCATGTGTGCAGAGTAGAACTGCTCCATAGAGTTTTCAAGGTTGTGACCTTTTAGAAGCAGATGGCTACGCCTGTCTTCCAAGGCACCTCTGGGTGGGTTCAACTTTTTGACTAGTAGTCCAGCGCTTAATCTTTTTGCGCCCCCCCCCCCCCAGGGACTCCATAAAGACGTCTGTAAGAGTGGCTAAACTCTGGGGCTTTGAGAAAGAGCAGCAGAAGGGAAGGAGGAGGAAGGAGCTGGAGGCAGCCAGGGTGGGGGTGTCATAAGTTTGTGTCTCAGGTGGTGGCAGCCATCCCAGGTCTGGGCAGGCAGAGAGAGGCTCTTCTCTTGGGAGGGCAGTGAAGGAGCAAGACACTGACTGAGCGACCAGAGCCTTGTCTCTGCAGTAAAGCAGTGTTTTGGAATTTGAGTCCAGAATATGAGGTTGGGGGCAGGGCTGCATCTTGTACTCCATGTTAACTGAGTTACAGAATCTCTTGTATCTGATTTTGGGGAAGAATCCGTATCTCAACCAGTCCTAGCATAGGCAAGGTCATGTTTTGCTCATATCAGCAGGGAAAACACTAGCTCCACCCCCACCCGAGAATCCTAAAGCAGCTCCTCTCTGAGCAAAGGCCTCTGCCAATGACAGCTATCCAACTTCTTTCAAGAAAAGATAGGTACTAGGTGGCAAGCCCCAGCCTATGGGCCCAGACAAGTCAATGGGAGAGCCCAAGAATGGGTGTGCAGTGTGCAGCTGGCCTCTGAACTGCTGCTAACTCCTCCTCCATCTACTCCAGGCATCTGCCAAGGCACAACACCTTGGCTTCTGAATGAGAAGGGGGCTCCTCTCTGTCCACCTCGTCCAAGCTGGCAGCCAGGGCCAGCCTTGGAGGCCTGTCCAGCCAAACTCTTAATTCCTTCTTCTAACATCCCCAGGAGGAGGAACAGAAATGGCTGGTATGAATGAAACATGTTTTACTCTAGAAAGTGTCTTTCTTTGTTGTGTTTTTCAGGATCCATCTTTGTTTCTTTGGGCCTAACTTGGTGGGGGAGAAACAAATGGGACCTTTTCAGCACCCCTAGACTCTCCCACTGCTGGGGTGGGGGTGGGCTTGGGAGAGATGCTGCAGTAGGGCTGGGGTGCAGATCCTCTGCCTCCCTCCTGTCAGCCAGGGCCATGCAAGGAGCAGCAAAGGTCTCCAGCGGGAGCACACATCTGATACAATCTCCCACAAGGCAAGATGTTAGAAACGGTCTGAGCCTTTCAGAACCCTGGTTTTCTCAAGAAGGAAAGTGGCCACAATGGGCCAAGCAAAGGCAAGCACAGAGATTCCAGCCAATGGTCACCCAGGAAGCTTGTGGGTGGGCAGAGTGGAGTAAATTCCATCTCTGGTGCCCTGAAGCCAGCAAGCAGAGGAAGCGTCTGGAGACTCTGACCTCTCTTCAAAGGCAAGACAGACACAAAGGCCACCTTGGGACTCTCTGTCTCTGAGACACTGTGTACCCTCAAGACAACTCACTCCTCCTTTGTTCTTTCTAAGCACCAAGGGCTGCTGCAGCCAGCCTGCCCCCTGCCCCTACCCCCACTAGGCCAGGGTGCATGGGCACCCGAGCATCACTGCCCACTTCCCTCCGAGCTGTCCCCAGGCACTCATAATGCTGGTGGCTGAAAGACCGAGAGCAGCACCAAAGGAAGAGATCTTATCTAGGCACCAGCCTTTTGCTCTAGCAAAATCTACTGGACTGAGGAGACAATGGGTTGGGCCTCTTATACCATCCACACTCCATCTGGGCTTCAAAAACAGGAGAAGGAGACAAGATCCCTGCACCAAGAAGAGAGGACAGTCTTTTCTGAGAAGGGAGGAGGGTGAGAAGAGCTCCACCACTACATTTGGGGCTGCAGCCGTCTGTAGGATCAGAAATCATGGAGACTAGCCCACCAGTCTTGAGACACAAACACAGCAAAATGTTATCATGATCAGCAGGTTCTGTGCTAAAAAATTATAACTACACAGCATTTTCTCCAGTTCTGACACCTTTTTAATAGAAATCACTGTTTTTAGGAAACAAATAGCACTTTTGTAATTTTTTTTACAATGTTTCTTACCTTGATCTTAATTTAAGTAACACTAGGAAGACCTCAATATCTTTTATTTTCCTCTTTAATTTAAAAAAAAAGTTGTTCTTTTTTTTTTTTTCCCCAGATACAAAGATTTTTGCCCTTGCATAAAAAAACAGTGCCCCAAACGATGACACAAGGACTCACAAAGACTCACTGGACCTCACTGACACTAGGATTCCTATTCTACCATGCAAGGTCTCAACTACCCTTAACTGGACTGTCAGCCTGAAAAACAGCTTTTCTATTCCTTAGTTTAGTTTTTGTTACCAAAAAAGTAAAATAAACAACAAAATAAAACTTTGTTTAAAGAAGAAAATGAACAAAAACAAAAATTAAGAGGGGAAAAAAAAAAATGTCTCCATTCAATTCACACACACCTGGGTCGCGTGCTGCTTCACTCGGGATCTTCTCTTGTTATAAATATAGAAAAGGGATGGAGCTTGTTTTCAAGTAAAATCACTGATCCACCTTTCTTCCTTCCTCGAGGCACACACCCTCCTTCCCTGCCTCGAGCGAGGGCAGTGGCGGCCCGCTCTGCTTGTTCTTGGAGAGGGAAGGTGACCGGGTCGTCCACAGGGATGCTCGCCACTCCACCGAAGGAGGGAAGGGGCGGGCGAGCGCGAGGCTTCAGGCTTCGGGAGTCGGGGGCACCCGTGGTGGGGAGCGGCATGCTCTGGGAGAAGACCTAGTGGCTATTCTTGGGGTACATCTCCCCTTGCACTATGCCCCACTCCAGATAATATTAAATACTGCTTATCTGATATACTTTCCCTACCCCTTGTCCCCCCCGTCCCCTTCCCATACCTCTTCTGGGCACTGGGATTGGTTAAATCTCAATTTCCTTTTTTTTGGTTTTATAGTAGTGAACGTTTAGAAACAGGAAAGCCCACACACTCTTTGGACTTGTCTTCTCTACCTAAACAAACGGCTCAGCAAATAAGGATCTGAAACCTGCTCTCCTCCCTCCGCCCATCCCTGCTCCCCACCCAACAAAACAAAAACAAACCCATCGTGGCTGTGGAGGCTGTTGCAGGCACACACTGGTGTATAATAGAGAGAGTAAATATATTATTTCACTTGGCATGGTGCTGGCAAAGAACCTCCAGCTGGCACTATTTCATGTAACATGGTCCAATCTTTGCATGTACACACAGAATAAGAAGGATCAATTGGCAAACTCTGGTGCCACCTGGCACAAGCATCTTCTCTCTCTCTGGAACCAAAGAACCAAAAGAATTCTGTACTTTCCAGAAGAAATCCGGCTTTGCTTCTCTAGAGGCTTCAGTATTTTGCTGCTCCTTGCTGCCGGGATCCCGTGGCTTCTCCTAGCGGGGCTCTGTTATTTAGTCTCTTCCCCCTGGTTACAGTTCGCTGTGCAGCTCTGGGAGGCGGGGGAGGGGGCCGGCGTGGAGGTGGCGGCGTTGGCAGGGGGGGTGCAGTCCGGGCCATTGGAGATGGCCCCCACAGAGACCTCAGAGTCTACAGGTTTGGAGAGGTCGATGCCATGGATGAGGCGGATCAGCTGTTTTACCTTCTCCAGGGAGCTGTGCATTTCCTTCTGCCGGGCTAGGATGGTATTCTTCATTTCCATGCATTTCTGCAGCAAAGAAGAGGGACAGCGGGACTGAACTGGCTGCTTTCCAGCAGGCTTGGCAGCCCTGAGAGAGGGGCTCCCCCATACCATGTAAAAGGACCCCTGCTGGCTAGTGTGCAGCCCAGACCTTTGCTCCGCTATACACTGAAGTGCCGGCTACTGCCCAAGGGAAGGAGGCCCAAAAGGCAAGGCCCAAGAAGCAAAGACAGGGGCAAGTGAGTGGTTTAAAAGCCAACTACACCTGACACCAGGACTTAAAATGCTAACAAGCTATACTCTTGTTATCACAGTGCTACCACAAAATTAAAAAAAAAGAAAGAAAGAAAACTTCCCACAGCTGCCCTGAAGCTGGTGTAGGCAGGTTTTGGTATGCTTCTGCCATGCTAATGGCTGGCCTTCAGGATTGCAATCCAGTGATGTCTGGATTCAATTTGGGCCTACTGGGGATCATTCAGTCTGTGAGAATTTAGGAGCAGGCCAGTGAGGCTTAGGAGAATCAAGGTCAGTCCACGGCCAAAGGACTGCAGCAAACAGAACCTTCTCAGTCATGGGCTTGTAGCCTTGTCCCTTGGCCTCCCATACTGCTGGCTTCTGCTTCAGGCAGAGGTGTTAAACCTACATGCTATGGGTAGGTACAATGAGGAAGAGAAAGCAGATGAGTGGGGCAGTCAATTACCAGCAAGTCCAAGACACCACCTGGTGCCTGTGAGGGCTGAGGCCACCTCACTCCATCAAGGGTGACCTACTTAACAGAAAACTTGCTTCTATCAGGAAGAGCCTGTGTATCCCTGCTGCTGATACAACCCTCCTTCCCCCCTTGAAAGGTCGGGCTGAGCAGTATTTACTTCCAGTACTTGTCTCTAGAAACCCCTCTTCGTCAGACCAGTCAAGAAAACCTGCGAGTGCAATCAGACGGTGTGGAAGAAAGGGAGGGAGGGAAGAGTCATACAGATGGACACACTAGCTCCAGTGCCCAGAAAGAATAACATGAGGGTACCTGGTCTGTGTCTGTCCAGCATCAGGCGAGGCCCTACACTCCTCCCAAACACAGGGGGGGTGGCTACACTATACTGAAATAAGGAACAGTTTGTAGCTGCCACTTTCTCTCTTGAACCTACAGACTGAAAATCCTCTCTCGGATCAAAGCAAGAAGGTATATCAGAGCTTGGCTAAGGTACCATATGTATACCAACTGGCCACCTGCCACTGAAGGTGGAACTCTAACTGGAAGACAAACGTGGCACCTGCCCAAATCAATCATGGCAACTGACGGACTTGCATTAGCCCTGGGGAGACACATGTTCTGTTATGTCATAAACCAGCTGCCACTGAGTAGATTTCAACTCATGAAAACCCCATGTGTGCAAAGTAGAATGGTGCTCCATAGGGTTTTCAAGGCTGTGAACTTTCAGAAGCAGATCGCCAGGCCTTTCTTCCAAGGCATGTTTCGGTTACTAGCAAGCGCTTTAACTGTTTGCATCACCGAGACACATGGTATGTACATGGAAAGTTCTATATCCATGCATCTATGTATCTATGTATTACTGAAGGCATAAGGTTTACTTACACTTATAGAACTGCTGAGCTGTTTCACCTTCTGCTCTAGTTGTTCTCGTTCTTGTTTTAAATCTGAACTCCATTTAAGTAACTTCTGTTTCTCTTCTTCTTTTGCTGAAAAAAACAGGAATAGTTTTTAACAATAAATTCTTTGGAAGGGCCCTTGTGCTCAGAATGCTTACCCAAGAAGATATTTTTCCCGAAAGCTACCTGAGTCCCACAGCTGGTGTGCAGGACCTGCCCGCCCCGGCGTTCCCTTTTTATAAGTATAGGTACGCTAAGAAAACGCTCCGTGGCTTGGGCCTGGCTTCATGCATCACTCTGTTTTCCTCCCCAAGAAAGTGCTACATGAGCTTTCCACTTCATTCAATAAAAAGTTTTTAGCTTTAAATTTCCTTTTGAAAACAAAACAAATATTGCCTTCCAGTATTATTATTTTTTTTTTTTAAAACAAAGGGAGCCTTACAAAAAAAGGAGTATGGGTAATTCTTTACCTGCTTTGTAGGCAATATAGGAATGAACAATTGCTAAAGTTCCAGGCCATGGAATTGCTTCTTCTTTCTTCAGCATCTGAAAAGATTTTAGAATTTTACCTTGACAAGGAGGTAGAAACACATGTTCCCTATGTACAAAGCAAATAATGGTTTCTATGGCTACTGGCAGACAAAACGCAAGTACTCAAGGTAGTCGTGTTGTAGAACCCTGGTCTATAGCTTCCAGGCCACAAAGTTCCAGATATCAGCCTGCGAGAATGAGGTTCAAGGGCAGGAAGAACCAAGCCACTTGAGCCCGGGCTTAGAAGAGGGTGGACTTGTCTGAGCATCCCCAAGCAGTTCATCTTATCTTCTCATATGTGCCACACGACTCCAACCCCTCCCGACAGCGAGAACCACCAACACTAAAGCTACAAGTCAGCATCATGGCAGGAGCCACTGGCGTTTCACCCCTGACTTGACATGGGCTGCCTATCTCAATTTTAGCTTTTTATGTTCCTCAAACACAGTCTGACCAAGGAAATTAAATATCACTTCCAAATACTAGGATACCATCTAGACCCTGTCTACAAAATTACCAGAGTGTCACAAAGAAGCATCAGGAAGGGAACAAAGACAGAACTATCTCTACTGCATCACAGAGGCAGGAGAGTACCAAGACGAAAAGGGGAAAACCAGAATTCTCTCAAGTCAGGACTCCTAAGAAGTGAGCAAGATCCCACAGCCTGCTGAGCTACTGGGCTTATTTATTTTTTATATTTTGCCTACTTCCAAAAAAGACTTGTGACAACTTATAATAAAAACATAAAAACACATGGAAAAAGAGAAAAAGTTGAGAAAAAGAGAACAGAAACCAAGCAGAGAAGGAGGGAAAACACTAGGACAGTTAATGTTTGCCTCTTAAGTCTGGGAAATACCAAGACAGCAGTTTACAGTTGGTTCTCTAAGCCTGATGCCAACAGAGGTTAAAAATGAACCTGATGTCATTTAAATTAAACAATAAATTTGGCACTTGCCTCTAAGGGTTTTATTCCCAAATTAGAGTTTCAAAACCATATATTTGGTTTGGACCAATTTTAGAAAATGAGGCAGAAAGTCTTAAGAACTTTTCAGGATCAAGGTAAGAAGCGTCATTTCAAACAAAAGGAAAGAGGCAGGGTCTCTCCACCTGTTCACAGAGTCACCGCCTCCTGGACAGGTTGGAGAACTTCTGAGGGAACCAATGCTGTGTGAGAGTGCTGTGCACGAACAGGAAAGAGGTGACCCAGAGAAGGACTACGGGAGACAGAAGAGACTACAGCACTCCCCGAGATGAGAGGGGAATAGAATTCCACCTGACCACGCTGTCGTTCCTTCTCTTCAGCACCTCTTGTGTCTGACCCACAGTACCTGGTCCTGACATCTGGGACAGATCCACATGCCCTTGGGAATTGTTTTCAGAGGAGGGTCTAAGCAGTCCAGGTGATACACACGGGAACATGTGTCACACATCAGCAACTGGCCACTTTTTCTGCAAACGCTGCAAAAATCCTCATGGATATCACCCTATGAAATGGAGAAGAAAGGTTAGAGAAAAGGCAAAAAAGGCAAAGTTCCAACAGTGATATGCGCATTCTGGATGCATATAAATGTTTTGGGATATTCAGCTGTCATGGCAAGAAAAGCAGGAATTACCAGTGGCAAAAGCCTCCACCTGCCCTACACAGTCAGGTTTCCCAAGTGGGGACAGTCTTCTTAATTTTAAAGTACAGTTTACAGAAAGCTCTGCAGCCACTTAGGTAAAAATTAACTTTACAGGTGAGAGCTCAGCATTTATTATATTTTGGTAGAGTTCAACTCAAAAATCAGGAAGTGTAAAGACACTTAAATTCATTCATCAAAATATTTTACAATGTGATATGAACAATTCTCATTAGCTATCATTGTGGGGGGAGTTTAGAAGGATTGGGAAAGAAGATAGGAGAAATGGAGTCTTACTAAACTTACTTGCTCAGTAAGGAGAAATAGAGTGAAAGTTCAAACAGGAAGAGATTAAGTCAGGAGCAAATTAAACTCATATGGGCTTTCTAACACGAAGAATGCAAAAAGCCAAAGCAAGAGCTGACAATTTTCTCTTAAAATCAGTATTTGGCATTTGCTGTTCAAGGGACCGTGGATTCTGAGAGGCTTTATTCCTCCCCATAAAATACTTCACCAGATGGAAAAAGAAGAGCAGCCCCAGTCCACTCTGCCTGCCTCTCTCCCGCCCCATCAGTGATAGTATTATACTCAGGGAAGTCTGCTGGAGCTCTCTGAACAGAAGGCACCATCAGAAAAAAGCAGAACCACTTCAAATTTGGAGAGGAGAACACAGAAAGGAAATGAGCTATTAAAGAGGCCTTTTCCAGCAAGTCAATCTCCAGCCTGTTTTCTGAACAGAATCAATGCCTCCGATGAAGACACCAAGTGAAGGTAAGATTGAAGGGACGCGCCAGAGGTTACCCAGCAAGTCAACTCCACCACCTGGATTATACCCTTTTTAACTTTCAATGTGTTGTTTTAGGTTTCTGGGCTATTCTGCCAGAAGGCCTAACACAGAACTTTTGCACAGGAAGGAATGATACAGAGAGCAATGCCCAGTTCTTTATTTCTATCATACAAACCCATCACCACCACCACTGAAGGAACATATCTTCACAAACCTAGAATTTCTCTCCAAAGAAAGGGAAACTTGCTCTATAATTCGCTAGGTTGTCTGGCAGCCCAAAAAATGGGCTGCAAACAGTTATAAGTGTGGATGGATTTTAATCTTTCTTAATAAAGAAATGTTACTTCTGGCAGTAAATAAGATACTCAGCACATGTGAAAAGTATCACACAAGAATGCAGCCCAACAATTTAACTTCTAGGCACCAGAAGACGTAAGGTTTCGTCCCTAGATTAACCATGTCTTTCTTCTTTCATTCTTAAAATCAGCCTGAGGGGTGTCTTCTCCTTGAGAGGGCTGGTCTTCCTTGAACCGTAGCCCATGTTTTAAGTATGCATCTTTATTAAGTTTATAAACATGTTATGGTTTCAGAGTTGATTTTAAATGAACTGTAAATAAAGTTATCAGTGATGAAGTACACGAGACAAACTGGACATCTTAATCAGAGGCATTTGTCAGGGTAAACGGAGTTCCGCTCACTTTCCATTGCTCCTGATTAAGGAGAGCATCAAGGAGCCATGGTGGCTCAGTAGTTAAGCGCTTGGCTGTTAACCAAATGGTCAGCAGTTTGAACCCACCAGCCGCTCTGATGTGGCAGTCTGCTTCTGTAAAGATTTACAGCCTTGGAAACCCTATGGGGCAGGTGCTACTTTGTCCTATAGGGTTGCTATAAAGTTGGAATTCAACTCAATGGCAATGATTTTTTTTTTTTTTTTTTTTTTTTTTAAGTATAGCAGCAGTTCTCAGTCTTTTTCGTGTCAGGAACACTTTACACTCTTAAAATTATTAAGGATCCAAAAAAGCTTTTGTTTATGTTCGTTAAATCTATTGATATTTACTGTATTACAATTTTTAAACTTTTTATTTATTTTTTTTGCAAGTCTCACACTTTACTGAAAGTGTTTGTAGCAGGGCAGCTGGATACCGGTTAGGGAGAACTTCAGCAAAAGAAGCTGCCATTTAAAATTGTCAGTTGTTTTCTGTTGGGTAGAGACAGCAGATCACTTGAGGGCAGATCTTTTGTTCTCAAATGGCTTACATGTTCCCTCAATGTAAGCTACCCCGTTGCCTGGGGGGAAAGAGTGGAGCGACACGAACTTTTCTGGGCTTGACCAAGTCTGCTCTTCCAAATACCCGTAGGGTAAACTGGGCCAAATTGCTATAAGTCAAGGAGCCTCTTGGAACCTGGACTCTGACATGTTTACAATCTTTCTGATTACTGACATGGTCCAGAATGATGTCGGCTGGTAGGAAAGCGCTCAGGGATCCCAAGAGGAATTCACTGAGGTCAATGCCAGGCCCAGATGGCTGACGTGGGAGAGCTGATTCTGGCACAGGGAGCAACCAAAGACAGAAGCCTCTGTGGACCCACCACACCAATATACAGGATCTTCTCTGGGGACAGTAGCTAAGTATGTGTGATCTTGCAAACTCAGCACAGAGCATCCTTAGCTTAACATAACTCTGGAGAGAGTGGGACTTTAGTCCCTTCACAAGCCACTGGACCCTGGGCAGTTTTCTGATCTTCCTAGCATTGGAGCAAGAGGCCATTCACAGTCCAAGAGGCCAAGTGGGGGTCAGTTTTCAACAGTGACACCATGTGGAAGTGACAGAAACAACAAAAGCCAAACTCCAGGGTCTGCTAGTGGGTTCATCAGATTATCCAGCTCTCTTTTCTCTTGATGTAGGACTGGCCTCTGAGGCTTGAATAAGCTCCTGGAGTTCTTGGACAATTTGGTTATAACTTTTTATTTTTAAATAACTACAGATTCACAGAAAGTTACAAAACTAGTGTATCAGAAAATTTTAAAAACCCAAGAACAAACAGACACACATTCCATTAGCTGACAGAGTGATGACATTATCACACGTCATGTAGTCTCTGGAAAACTCCACTGTTTACTCTCGAGAGACTGACAGTGAAAACAGCAAATGACATTTTAGGATTATTATGAAAATAGTTTTGATTTTATGGATCTCCTGAAAGAGTCTCAGGGACACCCCACACCACACTTTGAGAACTACTGTCCAAAGAAATAAATATAAAACGTTAAGATATTTCATCCATATAGAACTGATTCTTTGCCTACAGTGAGCAGAGGAAGTCTCATGGAGGTAGTGTACCAAGTTCAAAGGCTTACGCTTCGGTGACTGATCAAACTATTACCATAAACCAAATGGTACGGTGAAAGATGACTGATCCATGATTCCTTGCTAGGAGCTGGGGACACAGACTTTCTAGAAACACCCTAGCTATATCAACTGCAACGCCATCATTTGCTGAAAAAATTTTATAATTATGTCTATATGTCTTCTCATTAGAATGATGATAGTGGCAACAAGGTACATCCTGAGGATTAGTGTCTGGCTGGCTCTTGTATTACCAACTCCTTTTAGATGGTTATTGATCCCCAGGAAATGCCTGCCTCTCAACTGTTATTGCTTAATTAATGTTGCTGGGGCTTATGCTACCCAGCAGCAAACATACAGAGCCCTGTGTGTTGATTTTAATCACTGCTACTGTTGGGAGACTGTAAAAGTAGAAGTCAATTATCTTACAAAAAAAAAAAAAAAAAAGAAATCCATCCTATTGGGTTTAACTTAGGAGGTTGTGAACATATTTAGCCGTTTCAGAAAAGCTTTCTTTTCCTTTTAGATTTCTGAAAAGAACAATATTTGCATTTTAAAATGAAACTTGACAGAAGCTTTTCGTTTGTGATTTGACCTGAATGGATCCTCTGAGCACAGTCTCTGAAAGAAAACCATAAACCCCCTCAGCCAAAAAACTAGAAAACAACTTTATAGAGGGAAGAGACTCACAAGCACAAAATCATCTGTTCCCCAGCATACATGCCCCACTCTGGATGGGGAGCTCTACCAAGAAGCTATGAGCTGGCAATTCCTTTGGCAATGCTTCAACTGAGGAAAAATTGGGGCACTCTTTGATGCCAGCAAATAAGAGTCCCCTGGTGTTCATTAACAGGACAGTCAAAGTCAGAAAATTTTTAACTCCAAATGTTCACTCATTGGAGAGGGGTGGACCATTAGTAAGTTCTGAGAACTTCCAAGTCCAGAGGTCATTTTACCTGAAGATGGTCAAAGATAAGCTATGTAATTCACAAATGAAATGGGACATATGCAAAATGAAACTCTTGCTTTCCCTCCTCAAAAATGCTCATGTCATCTTCCCTACCTCAGTAAAGGGCAGCTTCATCCTTCTAGCTGTTTAGGCCAAAAGCACTGGATTTGTCTTTGACTCTTGTCTTTTCCTCATACCCCCTTATCCAATCCTGCTGGCTCTTCAAAATATATTCAGATTCCATCACTTTCCTCCATCTCTACTTCTATTGGGCCGAGTCATCATCATCTCTTTGTCAGGATGATTGCAGCAGCCTCCTAACTGGTTTCCCTATCCTCCCACAGTCTCTTCCCCATACTTCACAGACAGCAATCCTTTTAAAACCCAAGCTGATTTTGCAAACACCTTAAAAATAATAAATGCAGAATCATCAAAGGATGCTAAAACCACTGGTTGACAGTTTGTTGGGGAACTGGGTAATTCATACAGTCTCAGAGGTATCTCCACCAGAGGAAAAAGGGCACCTTTATGAGTGGAGAAATTTGGTGAAACTATCAAGTGATGGAAGTTAGTATGACCAACAATGGTTCTCACTGACATCATGTGCCTCCTGTTGTGATGAACTGAGACACCCATCATCACTTAGTACTTAGGGCTCCTGCAAAAGTGCATCTCCTGAATCTACTCTCGAGAAAACAACCACACAATCCAAATGGAGGGACACTCTACACAGCAACTAACCTATCAGAAAATGTCAATGTCATAAAAGAAAGGCTGAGAAACAGTTCCAGGTTAAACGAGACTAAAGAGACAATAACATGACAATAAATGTCAAGAGTGGCCTTGGGTTGGATCCTGGAGCAGGGAGAAAAACGTGCCACAAAGTCCACTACTGGGGCAACTGGAGAAATAGGAATATAGATATATTATATAATGATATCAATATTAAATTTCCTTAATTTGATAACTGCATTGTGGTATATAAGAGAATATCCTTATTCTTAGGGGATATATGCTAAAACATTTAAGACTGAAGATTCACATGGTGTTTGCAACTTACTCCCAAATGCTTCAGGAAAAAAAGAGTGTGTGAATGTATGTGTGTGTGCGTATGTATGAATGTGTATGGGGGAGAGGGAAGCATATATGGCAAAATGTTAACCACTGGTGAATCTAGGTGAAGCGTACACATTCATTCTTTGTACTATTATTGCAACTTTTCTGCAGGTTTGAAATTTTTCAAAATAAAAAGTTGGAAAAAAAAATTATGTTACCCCCCTACTCAAAACCCTCCGGGGGTCTCCCATCTCAGAGTGAAAGCTGCAAGGCCCTGCATGACCAGCCTTGCCACCTCTCAGTCTCATCTCCCACCACTCTTGACTGCTTGCTATGCCCCAGCTATCCTGGTTTTCTTGCTTTTCTTCCAGCACACCATGACACTTCTACCTCAGGGTTCTTGCGCTGCTGTTCCTTCTGCACGGAATGCTCTTCCCCTAGAAATTCACACGGTTTGCTCCTTTACTTCCTATCAGAGAGGCTTTCTCTCACCATTCTTCATAAAACAGCAACGTCCTGCCACAGCTCCCCATGCTCCTTATTGTTTCATTTGTCTTCACAGCACTTATCACTACCTGACATAATATATGTTCACTTGCTTATCCTCTGCCTCTTCCCATGGAGTATGAGCTCCGTGACGGCAGAGGGGTGGTTTTGCTCCCTGCGTGTTCCCAGCCTGAAAAACGGAGCTTGCTCAGGAGAATATTGCTCAAGTACTTGTTGAGTAAATGACTGAACGGGAAGCTACTCACTGCTTCATAAAGGCTCATTTAAAAGCTTGGAGTACTAGTTCACACTCCTGAAGTTTCTGGATGAAAGACTACTTAGTATCTGACACTTTACCAGGAACCTGTTTCGGATCAACTCTGCTGAACAAACTTACTTTAAAAAAAAAATTCCAGTTCTTGAATTCTATGCAAAGCATGAAACAGGCTGCTTGTTCACGGTCCTCAACCCCAAACACTGATGACAGAACTTGCACACCTCTCCATTATAGGGGCTGAGCTCCCCACCCCACCACACTGTCTGAGAATTTATTCATAGCAGATCAAAGTCAGACTCTGAAAAACTGTAAGCTTCCTGATGTATCTAACATGATACTCAGGGGCATGGAAGGACCTGGGAGCCCACAGTGAAGGTGCCTTACATGACATACAAAGTGTCCTGCAGGGATTACTGCTGTTCCAGGGTTAGTCAAGGTGATGCCAGTTGGTACGGAGACAACATATGAGAACGGTTTTCCCCAGTTTAAGCTCTCAGAAAGAGAGTGAGCTTTTCCCAAGTTACTTACGTCTGTGGAGGTGGGGCTGGGCAGGGACACAGGCTGAACAGATGCAGGGAAAGTGAATGTGGTCTCTGTCTTTTCATTTTCAGGGGAGTCAGGATGACTGGATGGGGGGGATGTTGGGGTAAGGGCTCCAAACCCCAGCACTGCATTGTATTTTGGAGGACGACCTATATACCAAGAGAAGGGAACAAAAGGGGAAAAGGGGAGAGGGAAAGAAAGGGGGAAAAAATGATCTTACATACCTTTGGCCAGTGTTCCTCATTGGCTAGCATGGAAAAGGAAGTGAGGTAGCAGACAGAAGGTTAATACAACAGTCCCCAAGAAAGGAAGAGAAGCAAAGATTTAAATGTCATTAGAAACAGCTACATGAATCTCAAAAGAAGTGAGGATTAGAGAGTCTTAGAGGATGACAGAAGGTGCTGGATTATGTTAAAGGACCTTGCCTTGGGCAGATTCTGGTGAAGTTCCTGGACTATCCCAATTTGACATTTCTAGTGAGAGAACCAGTATGTCAAAGCCCAATGGAAACCAAGGCCAGGAATAAGAATTTATTCTATTTTTTTCATTTTTTTGCGTATTTATTGTTCTCTAAGGTTTTCTTTGTAATCATTTTTACAATAATATTAATGATTCTCAGTTCCCACAAACTAACTTATTTAGGATTGCTGCTTTTCCTCTTCTCTCCTGTCTAAATTTTGGTCATTTCAATGCTTGTGAGGGTGGAAAGAGGCAAAGTGAGGAGGCAAATTTGAGTTAATTACTCTTGCCCCTTGCTGGTTGAGCTAGTGAAGATATGTTCTGGGAGTAGCCGGAAACTAAAAGCTAAACAGATGCTCTGGGACTGACAATGAATTTAAGTATCTCTGGCCTCGGATACCCTCCTCAGTTGATTGAGAGTTGTCTCCCCCTTATATCATAAATACTATGGTGAACTACATATCTACGAACTGAGGCCATTCCAAAGTCCCAGGAAAGGCACTGCCATCCACAACATCGCTAACTGAGAGACTTGGTTTAAGCAAGAGCATTTTAAACCAAACCTCATGGCTACAGAGGATCTATAAACGAGCCCTAACGGGTACGGCAAATCTAAGTCAACCACCTTGCTTTTGAAATATCTAAGGCAGGGTCCCTTGTCTTCTAAGCTGAGAGTGATCAAAAATGCATCCCCAATACACCAAGGGAAGGAGAAAAAAAAAAAAAAAAAAGACAGGTACAAAACTGCTTAGAAGCACTGGTAAATGGTACGTAGGATCATGACTCTGCCATCAGTTATAATTTGTATCAGGATTATGCACAAGAGTCATGAGTCTGTCAGATATTACACAAATATTACCTATCTGTGTTCAACTGGAACTGTCTACGGTACAAAGACAGATCTCACTGGTTTGTCTCTTCTAGGGAATTTAGTGAGACTAGGTGGGGAGGCAGAAGATGGATGCTCTTTGTCTCCCCACAGAAAGCACATCCTAGGCATTGCCAGTGCAGGCTTTCCTCCTCTGACCTTGGCAAGAGATGCCAAGGTCTTTCTGGCTCATTTAACCCGTCCTCTTAGCAGATACTGCCCAGCAGCAGGCCAATTAACAGTGGCCTCTGGCTGGGGGATCCTTTCTGAGACATGCATCAGAGGTCACTAGAAAAGTTGTCAAAACCAAACCAAAACAACAAAAAATAACCCATGACATTGGTTATCGTGGTCCAGAAATCAATATGAAGCAATGGCGTGGGGCTTCCCATCTACATATTTTTGGCTACTTGAACGACAGGGCTGATCATCAGAATGTGTCACTAAGGGTGGGTATGATATCTCTTTTTTGAGGAGGAGGTGGTAACGGTATTGTTGTAGTCCTGTATGAGGCAGACAAAGGGCCTATGCGATCTCCCAAGCTTCCTCTAGCTGAAATTGCCATGTACATACACAAAAATTAGTATGCTACTCCACTCACTCTGCAACCTCTGTAGCCTGGAACTATAATTCAGGGACGCATTATCATGTGGAGAAAGGGACCTTGGGATGTATTACTGACATCAAAGAGCAATTCCAGCATCTTGTTTATGAGCTCAAACCCTGAGCTATTAAGACCTATTTAGATCTGCACAGTGAGAGATGTTGCTTCTGTTGTTTTTTCTGTCCTGCTTAAGAGTAAGGTGGAATGCCCATCGGGAGGTCTGAAACAGGAGAATGGGCTCTTTAGGCATTTCTGCGTTGGGGGCCTGTTCTGGCAGTGACCTTTCCTTCCTTAGCTGGAGATGACCTCTTCTCCTAGATTCTAAGTTCTCTGTTTGTTGGTTACCTCTCCCCTTCCTGGAAAGTCTGCAGTTCACAGAAACTGAGTCATGCTCTGGCCTCGCTGGCAGCAGGACGACTTCGACACTATTAAGAACACCTTGGCAACAGCAGTGCTCTGTTCTGCTTAATGATGCTAAAATGCTTCCTTTTACATGGTGTTCTGTTCACTGTGCTATTCACGGATGGCCTGGTAGGCTTGGGGCAGAAACACTGCATTAAACCATTCCCCTGAGTCAGCTTTGCCAGAATCCTAAGAAAGTCAGCTTTTGATTCAGCATGTGGAGTTTTAATAAGAAATCTCACTCTCTTATTTTCCCCAATTCTCAGAGAACAACAACAAAACTATTTTCAAGGGATACAGGAGTTAGACAGGCACTAGGACAATGGGAGGAGGGAGAGGGAAGAAACACAACACAGAAAGCAAAAGCAACAGGAGGGAGAGATACAAAAAGGTACTCACCTCTCTTCCGGGTCCCAGGATGCATTGTGCTGTTCAGGTATGTGACTGCACTCTTCTTACGCTTTGAGGATTGAAGAAGGGAAAGGTGACTGGTTGAACAGCATGGTTACTACTATGGTTACTACTAATTCTGGCACAAGCTAAAGATCAAGCATAGTTTGACTGTCAACACTCCAACTAGTTAGTGTTAATCACCCAAGGTCCGTGTTAAAGGGTTTCATTACACCTACACGGCTCTCAGAGAATGTTTCAGAGAGGTCCACCTCTGCCTCAGATGAGAATTACATTAAAAAGCCAGGATGAATTAAAATTTTAAGGTAGGTTTGTATCTGTTCAAATTTAGACAAAAAAACTCAGGGGAAGGCTGCGAATAAAAATGAAATAAGCAATGTGATGAGCCAGAGGAATACCTATCACTTCACAAAGTTGGCCGAATACAATTAAGGGTGCTGCTCTTAAGCAGGCTTTCAGGTGGGAAGTGCTGAACAAGTCGCAAAATACAACTGAACAGTGAGGGAAGGGCCAAGTGCTGGCCAGGAATACCTCTGGCTCAAAGACTGCTCCACTGTATACAGGATTTGCTGTCGTTCTTCTTTTTCGTTCTTGCCTCTTGCTTTGGATTTCTTGGGAAAGGAAAAGGATTAGATTAGAAAAGAGGTACGGAGAACTCAAAAAACTTAACTTCATTGTTTTATCTACTGATTTTCCCACAACAGATCAGAAACAGTGGGGCGCGTTCCTTTGTCTCACTGCTCCTCAGCAGACAAGGCAGAGGCACACACACTGCTGGGAGCAGTTACGAAGGACCTTCTACTCTCACTTCTCAGAAAGCAAGGCTATGCTGTCCACAGTGGGGCTCTCTGTGATCAAGAGCTTAACAGTAGACAACACTTGTAAATAAGCTGTCCTGACTTATTTTTAGATCACTGTATATATAGGTGTGGATGAGCTTTATCCACGTCCTAGATTGAGTAACGACAGCTCACTATTCTTGAATTAAATAGCCAGGACAGGTACACCTTTGTTCTTAAGATTTTGATAACCTTAAGTGATTGAAAAATACAGACAAGGACTTGTCTTATAAGGGATCGCTGCTACTTTGTGTTGTCAGACAAAAAAAAAAAAGTTCCATTATGTGAACAGAAGTCACCTTAATCCAAGAAGCTGGGGGGGTTTCCCTAGGATAGTGGTGTGGATAATGATAGGAAGGGGAAGGACCTGAACATTAGACAGAGGGAAGGCGATTTTTCCTCTGAAGGAAATAAAAGTCCACACTGGTTGACTCATACTCTATTTGTGTTCCAATTTTCTATTCTAGGAATACAATCAAACACCATTTTCAGGAACATAGTTCTGAGCCAGAAGCAAGGCAGCAACATGAATATCTTACCTTCTAGATGGTCATGTGTTACCAACCCTAGAGACACCATGAAGGCAAGTTTCTGTGCCAGAGAAACAAAAGAAGAATACACTTCAGTTTGGGTTACCACAAAGCCAATTCCATGTAGGTCTACTTCTAGAGAAAGCCAGCCCAATGGACTAGTCACTCAAAAGAGGCAGGGTGAAAAAAAAGCAGGCATTCTTCACTCTTGGCAGCTCTGGAGCCACTCTAGAGACTTTCCAGTTTAATAGGAACCAAAACAGAAGCAGAGGGGCCTACATCTTCTACTTTCTCTATGATAGAAATCACCATCTTGAGAGACAAAAGGCTTTTTCAGAAAAATCCTCTTACAGGGAAGAGCATTTCATATTCTAAAAATCTACAGAGGGGTATAAAGAGCCTCCCATACACCAAGCTCCAAATCCTAAGTACCTCACTTGTCATGACTAGGTCAGGGTTTCTTACATTTTCACTCCCACTGATTAGACAATACTTATACAAAGCTAAATGATTTTTGGGAATGGGAGCAGGCAATTCTGCTTAATATTATGATTTTTTCAATTAAATGTGGATCTAGAAATTATGGAGTGATTTCTCTCTGAAGATCACTCTTAGGGCTCCATCAGAAGCTAGGCTGATTAGAATACTACACCTCAAAGCTAGAAGATTAGATACTTCAAGTTGGAGAGAGCTTTTTGGTTACGTGTGGTCTGGAAAGTATGTCTTCATTTTTGTTGTACCACTGCATGCAGTTTTTAAATATGCCACATAATACAGCACCAATTTCTTTCCTGATGAATAAAGATCATCATCAGTTGTTAGGAGACATACTTCTGTAGAACTATTTACACCACGGTTTTGTCTTTAAAACTCCTGACATCTTATCCTCAACATTGTATGGATGCATATATGTATATAGGAAGGCACATGTGAGTAAATGCACATGCATGTATAGGTGTATCTGTAGGCATTATGTGTACATGTTTGTGTGTGCAGCATATATATCCGCATATACAACAAACCACATAGGGGGCATAGTTACAGAGGCTTCCCAGACATATTCAAACAATTCTCAGGATTGGTTTACTGGGTCAAAAGGCTTGGTACCATAGTCTTCAGGGGACAATTTAGTCAATTGGCATAACACAGTCCACAGAGATAATGTTCCACCTCTGAGTTTGGTGAGTAGCATCTAGGGTCTTAGAAGTTTGTGAGCAGCCATCTAAGATATGCTTATTAGTCTCTACTTGCATGGAGCAAAAGAGAATGAAGGAAATCAAAGGCTCAAAGAAGAAACTAGTCCATGGGACTAACAGTCCACATGAATCACAACCTCTTCAAACCTGAGACCAGAAGAACTAGATGGTACCCAGTTACCACTATCGGCAGTTCTGACCAGGGACACAACAGAAGGTCCTGGGCAGGATGGGAAAAAAATGTAGACCAAAACTCAAATTCCTAAAAAAGGCCAGACCTACTAGACCGATAGAGACTAGAAGAATCCCTGAGACTACTGCCCTAAGATACCCTTTGAACTTGGAATAGCAGCTATTTCTGCAGGTCACCTTTCAGCCAAATAACAGACTGGCTTATAAAATAAACAATATCACCCGTGAGTAATGTGCTCCCTTAACTAATTAACTACATGAGACCAAATAGTCAACAGCTACCGAAAAGCAAAGATGAGAAGGCAAGGAAGGGAAGGAAATTAGATCAATGGAAACAGAACAAACAGATGGAAATCAAGAGAATGCTGACACACTGTGGAAATTGTACCAATGGCACACAACAATTTGTATAAAAATTATTAAAGGGGAACTAATTTGCTGTGTAAACTTTCATCTAAAACACAATAAAATATTATTAAAAAAAAAAAACTTAGGTAGGCACCTATCCCCTTGATAGCCAGAGTACTTCAGAAAGGAAAGCAGCCTTGGACTCACTGCCCATTTTATACACTGCCCCTTGAAATGGCATATATTTTGTGGTTGCCAATTAACTATATTCCTAATTTTCATCATCCCTTCAGAACTTAATCAAGATTAGAAGGCTGACTATCAACTGTTCTCTGTTAATAAGTACGTGGACTGACATCCAGATGCACCTTCTTTTAATCAAGTAGCAGCACCCTTCTTGGCCACTCACACTCAACTTGTCTTTGCCAGTTTTGATGAAGCTCACAAAATAATTATTAAATGAAAAAAACAAAAATCTCTTGTCGGGTGGAATGGATTTTCAGAGACACACAAGAATAAAAAGTTGTCAAGTACTTTTCCATCGTATATATATATCACACATATGCCAAGAGCTAGTTTCTTCTCTTCACAGTAGTGGTTCTGTCTAACTATAAGGTGGAAACATCTGCTAGTACACATGATAGTGCCTGCTTGTCCACACTGCTGGCCACTGATATGAGATATCCTTCAGTCTCTTTTGATAAGGAAACTTTGCTAATAGCTTGTTTTATCTTTCCTCGTCCAAGCATAATACTTGTCATTAATTTTGTAGACGGCTTTACACATTTTTCAGCAATCTGTGTGACTAGTACTTGTTTTTGGTTCAAGTTTTGTTCCTTTCTTTACATATACAATTAAAAACTAATCCACTTCACATCAGGAAGAATTATATTTTGTACTTGTTTTAGAAAAACCTAGACAGGTTCAATAAATCACTGCTTTTAAAAAAGTGACATGAAGCTTTGATGGCTTCATGCCACTGTTTGACATGGTTTCATTACACAGAATGCACCAGGGATACAGGGAAATGGATTACTGGTCTAATAAAATCCAACTATCAGATATTCATCATCGTATTACCTATTCACATTTTTTTAAATAGCTGCTTGTGCAAAAGCATTACACTAAAAAATTCTCTTATCTAAGGACGTACATATTTACATTCTTTATTTGTACCAGGGTTTTGTTTGCCAATTATGTTTATAATGCTCTCCTAAGCTGTAGCACAGATGTTACTATTTTCATCCCTACTTTTATGCTTCAATGAACTACTTTTAAGCAACTGATTTATTTGGGATTTAGGGATCTAATGCAATGTAATATGACTGTAATAACAACATTTAATAACTGTAACTGATAAACAGACATTAGCCGGGTGAACTGGACACCTTATAGACGCTGGCAGAGACAAACAGAACATCATAATCACTAGGAATGCAATGGGATAGCTATGAAAATTATCACTAATCATACATTTCAAATTTGTAACATGTGTCTGAACAACGTCATTTCAAAGCTTTACTTCTGAAATAACCAAGAGGCCTGTATAGCAACCAGCTCATGAAACCTCAGGGCTACACTCTAAGAAATCTGCCCTGGGTCACCTTGTCTTGGCAATAACATCATTGAAGGATGAGAAAGCATAAGAAAAGGTCTGTGGATCCAAAGAAAATCAAGCGTGTGTGAGAATAAATCCCACATCATACGCTGAGTCATGCCTTTGGAGGGGATGGGCCTACCTGAGGGTTTTCTTCCCGTTTTGGTTTGGGTGCAGCAGGTGGGGTGATGGTACGGCTCTCTGTTTGCTTCTCATCTGTTTCTGTGTGGGATTTAATTGTCTAGGAGAGGAAAATAAAATAAAAATTCAGAATTCATCTTTTTATAAAAAGAATGAAAACAAACAGCAGCCTAACTGTAGCCAAAAAGAAAGAAAAGAACATACTCAAACTGGGGACATATTAATAAAGGAGTTAAAATTATGGATTTCTTTTTTTTTGGGGGGGGGAGTAAAATGTAAAGCCCTAGCTGATGTTACTAAATTGCACAAATAGAGTAAACATTAATTTATAAATAAAACTGTACAAAAAGAAACATCTGCAGTTTAATTCCTTGGTATAAAAATAAAGTATAGGCTGCTCTTTCTGCTTTCAGTACAATTTAATAAAAACTTGCATGGTAGATGTGGGGGCAATTTCCCAGAAGCAAGCCCACTGCTGTTATATATATGGGTCAAGCTCCAATCCACAGCAGGTTTAAGATTTGAATGATGTAAAAAAAAAAAAAAAAAATCTTAGATGCATGCTCTTCTATTTCAGAACAATTTCATTCATAATCTGAGAGGACGCAGAACTACTCTCACTTCCAGGACATTAAGAACTTGACTGTATCACCCATTAGAGAGATGCAATTGCTAAGGGAAACCCATCTTGCAAGAGGCTGACATGCTGATTACCCTTAGGCCCTTCTTCCAGAAGCATCCATTCACACAGAGGAAACACCAGTGGCATTAACCTCTTTAAGCACAAATAGTTATCTACCAGATTAGTAGACTGGGCTTGCATTACTATTCTTGCCATGACTCAATGGCTAATTGATTTTATGAAGCCCGCTGTAAATACTGAGATATTAGAAAAGCAGATATATAACTATAAACACAAACTTAACTTACTTTTAAAAAAAAATACGTGGATGCAAACGGTCTTTTCATATGGCAACAAGTAATTAAATAACAGAATGAAATTGATTACTGACAGGCAGGAGCCAAATAAAAGATTTCAGTCCTATAAGCAGGACATCAAAAGTTCTCAAAAATCATTATGCAGTGAAATATTTTATTAGATCTGAAAAACTAACACAATCACAAAGATCTTTCACTCTTTTTACTGGTCACTTCTGTATCTAGTAGTATCCTGCTTTTCATCTTATTACATTAGGAACATGTAAGCACCTCCCTTTATCAATACTGTAGTACTCATTGCTCTGGCTCTTCATTTGGCACAGATGCTGCCTTGAATTATTATTCTTTTCTAGCACGTATCATGTCATATTTCCCCCTTTATACTACAAGCTACTTGAGAGCAAGGATTGTTTTATAGATTTTTGCACTCTTTGGTGCCTAGTACAGTGTCTCATGCAGAGCACATATTCAGTAAAGAGCTGACTGATCTCTGATTGAAGAATATGACCTGTCAGGAGGATCACACAAGTTCTCTCTCTCTCTCACACACATACATTTTTAACCAAAAAGGACATATACCTCCTTCATAAAACAAACCACCAAAGACACCCATAAGACAATATAATGGGAAACAGTTTATAGTGACATTTTTTAAGGTTATGGGCACACCAGAAAGCTTATTTTCATGGCTCTTTGGACGTGGAAGGAGGGAAGTGTAAGGAGTGAGGAGGGATAAGAGAAGGTCAACTATAAGGGGTTTGCTGTTCTATTCCAAAGCTATGTGAAAAGCTCCTCGGAGTCTTTTACTTCTATCTAAGTAAGACTGAATAAGGCACTTAGTGGCAATGCCTCTGGGAAAGAGCAAACTAATTCTTCTCCACTAAGGAACTACCAAGGGCTCAAATTTCTCTCTTTTATGCAAAAACACTACAACTATCTCAGTATTAGATAAAGAATACCAAAGAGCATTAAAAATAAAAATAAAAAACAAAAACATGAAGATGGGAGTCTCTCTCTCTCAGAACTCTCACTCCGGGAAAAGCCAGGTGCCACGTTGTAAGCAGCATGATGGAGAGGCCCATGTGGTAAAGAACTGAACCTCCTGCCAACAGCCAGTGAGGAACTGAGACCTACCAACAACCACGTGACTAAACTTGGAAGTGGATCATCCAGCCCCAGCTGAGCTTTGAGATGCCTGTGGCCCTGGCCCACCAATTTGATTACAAACTCGTGAGAGACTTTGAGCCAGACCACAACCTGATTCTTGATCCTCAGAAAATGTGTGTGATAATAAGTATTTGTTGTTTTAAGATGCTTCAAACAAACAAATTTTAAAAAACCCAAAAAAAATTAGGATGGGGGTGTGATGTCATGGAAATGGTGGAGTATGGCACACCAAGAATCCTTCCACTGAGGCAACCATTAAGCTAGCAAAAAAATGACAGGATCAACTTCTTTGGAACTCTGGAACCTAATAAAAAACTCACAGCAACAAGGGAATGCTAAATGAAGAGACTCCCAGATTTTAGTAAGAAAGTGTTGTGGAATTTTTGCTTACCTGCCTACCAGACCCTCTTCCCAAGACTACGAATGGCTATGGAGATGGTGGCCTGTGTTCTTAGTGTGGCATCCTGTTATGAGGACAGGCAATACAGACCTAGAACTAAAAAACTCATGGCTGTGTGTTTTGATCTGTCTGGTGGTTCCCTGAGAGACCAGTGCAGAGGCTGACCTTTATTTCATCCCCCTAGGGCTGAAGCGGCTTTCCAGGTGGCAGCTGATGAAAGCATTTAAAGACATAGCTGCCTGGGGCAAGGAACTGAGGACAGGTTAAGCAGCAGACAGATCCAAAAGCCCAGGAAGGAGGAGGCTGCGCAAGAAGATTATTGGGGGAATAAGGGCTTTGAAGGGCTATCACAGATACCATGGAATCTGGAGTGCAATGAGCATGCCCAAGGCCGGCACGTGCTCAGAAAAGACCTGAAAGGACCCTAGGCTTGTACCTCTGGGTGATCTTTGGGGTCTGCACAAGCAGGAGGTGAAGGCTAAGGCAGAGCTGTAGGCAGCTGGGATTAGTGTTAAAGTGCCTCAGCTCAGAGTCATTCTGCAAATACTGGAGAAGTATTTGTTTTTAAATTTATTATTTTCTTCTTTTTGGCTCTGGGCATTTAAGGAAATCTCTGTCAGGTCACTGGCTGACTGCTGAGACAACTTAACAGACACTTCAGTGAACACATGTAACAAGGAATACAGTTTTTTTTGGAGGAAAAAAAAAGTTTGGAAGAATCACTAAACAGATGGCTGCAGCCCTCAACGATCAATAGCAAACCCCACAGAGAGAGGAGAATTTGATTTCCAGAGTTACCACATTAAAATATTCAAAATATCCAGTTTTCAACAAAAAAAATCACAAGTCAAGAAAAAGAAATAGGAAAGTATGGCCCGTTCACAAGAAAAAAACAAACTGACAGAAACCGTCCCTGAAGAAGACACCACACACTGGATTTACTGTACAAAGACTTAAAATCAACTGTCTTAAATATGCTCAACAAACAAATCTGTCTTAGAAGAAATTCAACCAGAATGTCCCTTAGAAACAAGGATTGTGAGACTCTGGCTCACTTACTTTGGATACGTCATCAGGAAAGAGCAACTGGTAGAAAAGGACACCATGGTTGGTAAAGTGGAGGGCTGGTGAAGGTGAGGGAAGCCCTCGATGAGATGGACTGACAGAGTGGCTGAAACAATGGACTGAAACATAGTCATGATTATGTGGATGACATAGGACAGTATATTTCCTCCTTAGTATCCATGGATAATTGAATTTGTAGTTCCTGTTCTTTCGGTGTTTTGGTATTATAAAAATAGAATCCAAAAACTCTGGACAAATCTAAAACTAAGCTAACCATTTATACCCTAAATTTCAAATTCATCCTCTGAGACTTGGTTGTATGGATAACCAAAGTTAAAAAAAAAAAAACCAAACCAAAGCCACTGCCATCAAGTTGATTCCGACTCACAGCGACCCTATAGGACAGAGTAGAACTGTCCCACAGGGTTTCCAAGGCTGTAAATCTTTATGAAGGCAGACTGCCACGTCTTCTGTGAAGTGGCTGGTGGGTTTGAACTGTCGACCTCTCGGTCAGTAGCTGAGAGCTTTAATCACTGTGTCACCAGGATTCCTTTTTAATCAAACATGCTTGCAAATAGATAAATGTCCAAGGTCAAATAAATCTGGATTGAAGGCAAAGCAAAATCCATTGTTTGGTCACTTGGATTCATTTTCCCAACTACAGCACCAGCATTAGCATGGAGCTGGGGCAGGGGAGGTCATCAGCTCAGGTTTACTAAGAGGAAGACCAAAATTTAGGGATAATACACTGGATAATACTCTCATTTTATAAGTACTTCTTCTTGTTAGCGGATACTGTGTAGGTTCCTATGAAAGATATATATGAAAGCGGTGACCTGGGTGGCAATCTGGCAATTTTTCCTATAGAACCTTCCATTTTTTTCCCATAACTTAGCCTTGGGAACATATATATGAGGTCTTTCTTATGGGATGGAAAAGTAATAAACATTCTTCCAGAGAATTAACTCTGTGTCAGGCAAAATCTACTGGACTTTGAACACTTTATCTCATTTCATCATTGACAGGTGTTAGCCCATTTCAGAGTGCTTGAGAGGACAACGGAAAAAGAAGGTAGTGTGGGGCTATCAACACAGGTTTGGCTTCATCTGCTTTTCTAAAATCTCTCCAGGCTCAAAGTTCTTTAAATTCTACGTCTCGTTTTCTCAGAGTCACAATGTAATATGGCTTCCATTAAGAGGTAAGACAGGGGATCTCTTATCTGGGATGGAAAAGGAAGTTGGTTATATCTGACAGAGAAAGGAGAAGTGGGACCACGGCTGTTATAACTGACACTGTCTTCTCCCTTTCCTATGCCAACGTGGGAGGCCTCTGAACCTACACAACTTGCCAAACTTCCTTTCCTGGAGGCACAGCCTCAGTGACTGTTCCAAATGCGCTGGAGAATGAATTCCCCGACGGCAGAGGTTTTGATCTATCCATCCTTGTATACAGACACCATATGTGGCATACCAGCTGGCATTTAATCAACGTATTTTTGTTAAATGAATGAAATTATCACTCTAAAGGAAAAAGCAGAAAGCAGAAAGGAACTCACATAGCCTGATTATATAAAGAATGTTGGACACAGGTTTGATAACTCTCTGAGAAGGTAGTAATACTACCATGGCTAAATATTTATATTGCTTCACCCTTAGCCCATCTATGAGATCTCTTAATGGCTATGTGGTACTGGGAATGAAATTGACTGACCTTGGTAACCTGTTAGTGTTATGTTATGTGGCCTGAAAAACTAAAACAGCAACGACTGGGTTCCTCTAATTAGATTGACAAGAAGAGAGACCATGGAATTTACTTTTAAAAAATAATTTTAAAAAAATTCTTAACAATTCATAGGTTACCTTTCTGTGCTACTATAATTCAAACAAAAAGCTCTATAAACATGTAAGGCCAAAACCAAACCACTGCCGTTGAGTCGATTTCAACTCACAGCAAACCCTATAGCAATGACATGGAAAGATGTTCAAGATCTATTAAGTGGGAAAAAGCAAGTTATAAAATAATATATACTGTTTAATTTCGCTTTAAAAATGTGTGTTAGCATGTGTATAGAAAATACACGAAAAAATATAATCTTAACTGATAATAGCAATTAACTCAGAGTTTATGCTCCCCATAGATTATGGGAAGGTGCACTTTCTACAATATACATTTCTGTACTGTTTGAACTTCATTTTTACAATGAACATGCATTACCTTTATAACAAAAAAAAACATTTAAAAATAAAACTGAAAAAATTTTCCTCCTAAAAATATACTTATAAAAATAAATGTATTTATCAAAAAGGGATCAAAGAGAAATAATAATTAGTAATCTAAAGTAATGTTTAGAAATCACATTCTTTGGAACACTGAGCCTCCTGAGAGTTTCTTCAAGGGCCAGACAAGATCATGAGGGCAGATGATCTCCAAATGTGCCCCCATCCAAAGCCCTAAGTTTGAGCATTTTACTTTCAATATTTTAATACTGACATTTTGCTGCTAAAAAGTTTGAAAATTTCTGAAATAAAATGTGTAAAGAATTTATTTCTGAATGTTCCTCAACGTACTTCCTAGGGTTTAAGCAGGTTCCTAAGGAATGGAGAAATGGGTTCTCTGAGCACAAGATTTTGGCACCCAGCTTCTTCAAGACCAAGGTCTGCTGCGTTTATGAGCTGCATGAGTCGAGGGCCTGGTGCCCTATGCACAAGGCTCCTCTGTTCAAGGCCAAGGCAGCAGGAAGCCTTCTCACTCTCCACCATCTGGCCAACCTTTCTGAATCATGGTCAGCCATCAAGAAGCTGAAGATTCAGGATCACCAGAGACTATTTTCAGAACAATGAGAACTCAAGCCTGAGTAATTATGTCAACGACTTTTTAAAGCAACTTTCTTGAAAGAGGATACTTTTCTTTGTAAAATGCTTCCCTCTGATCAGTAGTCTTTCTTGAAGTAAGATATGGTGACTTCCTATAAATTCTTTTTATTTTTACAGGTGTTTTTTTGCTATAGGTTATCTATATTTCTCTAGCCTCGGTTTTGGAAAATACTAACGAAACGTTTCAATACTTAAGCAAAAATGTCTACACAATCTAAAGTTAAAAGAATGCTTCTTAGAAATTTTACATTTCTTCTGGCTTTTCACTAAGAAAAAACTTTGAAATGAAATTCTTTCCCTGTTTTGTTTATTCGTCCTGACTTCAATCGATGATATCCTCATCTGGATTCTCATTGGGACTGAAACGAATACGGCGTTTTCTGTTTACTACCTCCTCTGTTCTTCCTGACTGAGGGCAGCAGAGCCTATCTGTGAATTTCTGCTACAGAACCAGCAGGGGGAGCTCACTCATGTAGGAATCTGAACCCATCTATAAGAGGATGGTGCGAAAAGCGACCCAAGAAACTTTCTTCAGTAATAATGGCCTTTTGCATTACAGATGGATTACCACTTGATAAGCAACAGGTTATCAACAATGGTACTGAGATTAAGAGCCCCTGTGAAGATGTATTCAGAGACAGCCCAGCTGCCAAACGCCTCAATGACTATTATTGCCCAAAGCAGCTGCATACTCTGCCTGTACCTGTTTTTCAAGGCTTGGCTTACTAAGCTGTACAGTTTGAGGTCCAGCGAGTCTGGTCCCTGGAGTAGCTATCACAATGCTGGTGAGCTGGGCCATGGGGAACGTTTTGGCTATGGTTGCAGTCTGTCCATTGACGACACGGACGGGGTGGATGGAATTCTGGGATGTGGGGAGGGTTGTAGGGGTGAACTTGGTCAGCATGACAGGCCTCTGGATAAGCTGAGGAGCTGCAAGCATGGGAGGAGGTGCTGGGGCAATGGGAATGTTATTCTGGGCCACAGGCTTTGGTCGAACCTATGGGAGAAAAAGAGAACAATTATTTTATTGTTTAAAGAAACTTCTCAAGTCCTGTAAGTCCAAGACACTGCCAAATCTTCCATACTGCACATGTGAAATGGTATTTAATAAAAATATTAATATTCATTCTGATATTATTCATTTAAGATCTTAGGGCATATAATCTTATAAAACGCTCATCAGCTCCTAACAGGGTCTAAATGCTACCCTAGAACAGTTCTTTTTTAAAAAAATATTTTATTCAGTTTTTGGTGAAAGTTTACACAGCAAATTAGGTGGACATTTTCCACACAAACCGTTTAGCGACATTAGTTACATTTATCACACGGTGGCAATACTCTGTGTTCAGTTTGTTCCCTTTCCAGTACTCTAGTTTCCCTGCCCCATTATCTTCCTATCTTTGCTTTTCAGTAATTGTTGACCTTTTGGTCTCATACTGATGGTTTTTAAGTAAGTAACCGATCTTACGGGTAATATCCTTTATTTTATGTGCCATTCTGCTGTTTCACCAGAAGGTGATCTCAGGGGATAGGCTCAGTTCTAGGTTTAAAGAGTTATATCAGGACGACAGTCTCAGGGAGTCTTCTGTTCTCTACTGTTCCAGTTTGTCTGGCTTTTTTTTTTTTTTTTTTTTTCTTTTTAATTAAGAATTTGAGTTCTGCTCCATAATTTCCTCCCATTCTATCTGGGACCAACTATTATGACCCCG